TCGCGCCATGTTGGGGGGGGGTTTCCGACATTCGGGGTACCTTATTGGGGTTCTTACTTTAAGGGAGTACCTCAATTATGGGGTTCTTACTTTCAGGGAATCCTACTATTTGGGGGGGCTATTCTAGGGGTCCCTTTTTTTCGTAAACCCCCACAGAAGAACCGAAACCCTAAACCCTAAACCCTAAACCCCAAACCCCAAACCCCAAACCCTGAACCCCTAAGCCCTACATGGTCCTGGAGGAGGCAGGCTTCGGGCATCCTCTCGGACCACCAGGAGTCGAAGGACCATCCCTGCTGGCCCCTTAATTCAAGGGGGTTAGTGTTTTGGGGTTTAGGGTTTTGGGTTTTGGGCTTAGGGCTTAGGGTTTAAGGCTGAGAAGGAAGCAAGATTTTCAGAACCAAACTCCCCCAAAAACCTGACCTACTAATTTGAACCCTCACAAAACCCTCCCTAAACCCTAAACCCTAAACTACCCTGAAAATCCACCGCAAACCCTCAACCCTAACCCTAAACCCCAAACCCCAAACCCTAAACGCTGAACCCCATACCCTAAAACCCAAACCCTAACCCCTAAACCCCAAACCCTAAACCCCTAAACCCCCCTCCCAATTCTCGCGGGCTCCCGGCCTCTGCGCGGCCCTTGGTGGCGATGAGCGCCGTGTAGGCGGACCTCCGCTGAAGGGGTTTTTGAGGAGGGCGACAGTACTTCTTAGTATTGTCAGGAAACTATAGCCTTTTGTGGAAAAATTCTACATAAAATCGTTTTCAGGCATCTTGTATAGTTTCCCCACAGCTTTTCAGGAGAAAGCATATGGTTGTTTTCAGGGAAATCTTATGCATTATTTTCAAATTTATTTTGGGTTTTTGAATTGATGTGAAAGAGTACAAACTCCACAGGAAGTTCAAGCTCAAGACCGTTCGATTCAGCCCTGGCTTTACATAAGGGCCTCTGCGGGGTCCAAGGTCTCCTCTTGGGTTTAGGGTTTAGGGTTTAGGGCTTAGGGTTTAGGGTTTAGGGTTTAGGGTTTAGGGTTTAGGGTTTAGGGTTTAGGGTTTAAGGTTTCGGGTTTAGGGTTAATCCCTACTAAGGACTGTTAGTATAGGTCCTTGATGGGGATTCTAGTACCCCCTGTTCTAATCCCCATGAAGGACTGCTAGTATAAGGGGAACATCCCAAGTCTCCTCCCTAATGGGTTTTGGGGCCTTAACGGGCCTGGAGGCTTGAGGACAAAGTGCTTTGAGGGGGGTGGGGGAGGGGGGGGTTTGGGGATGCAAGATTTGAATCAGAAATGAATTCAGAGTTGTTGGGGCTACAGGGCTACGGGGCGCCAGCGCTTCAGGGCGAAGATTCCTCTGCTTGCCTTCCCCGCGCCGGCGAAAGTTGAAACAACCCGAAGTAAGCCCCCGGCGACCGGGCGCGCTCTGCTGCGGCTCGGAGGATCTGCGTGGGGGCGGGGGCTCGGGGCTTCATTTGCGGGTTTGCTTGGCGCGGGGAGCTTTCCGCAAACCCCGAGCTCTGCAGCTGAAAACCCGACACCCAGGAGGCATCAAACCCTGCAGTCTGCAAGGGTCCCGCCGCGCACCGCGGGAGCCAGGAAGTAAAGTGATGTAGTTGCTGGATGACCGTTCAGTTCTGTTCGTCTTCTATGGTATAGACCCTACTTGCAGGCTCAGGGAGCTTAGTAGCCGAAGCGTCTGGGTTTGCGGTTTGGAGTTAGCTTCTCTCGTGTTGCCTTCCACGAAGTTTTTTGAATTTAGGGTATAGTGCAAAAACAGGAAATGTTGGAGCCGAAGTGGTCACCAACTGCAACTCGCCCCTGAGAATCTCTACGCATTGTCCACATGGACTACCCAAGTAGCCCATGATTGTTTAACTCTTAAGGAAGTTACACGGTCCTCTTGTATGGGCCCTGAAAAGGGGACCCTGAGATGCCCCTGATATGCCCGATACAAGTTAAGGGAGGTATGGGACCATATATATGAAGGGCCCATGCTTTTCCCTTAGATTAACCTAAACCCTTAACCCTAAACCATGAACCCTAAACCCTAAACCCTAAACCCTAAACCCTAAACTCGTTGGGATGAGCAGCTTTCATTTTGCATCACTTGCATCATGGGCCAAATTCCTGGTTCTTCCTAAACTCGTAGTTGGGTCGGTCTAGGGTTTAGGGTTTTAGGGTTTTAGGGTTTTAGGGTTTTAGGGTTTTAGGGTTTTAGGGTTTTAGGGTTTTAGGGCTTTAGGGCTTTAGGGATTTAGGGCTTTAGGGCTTTAGGGCTTTAGGGCTTTAGGGCTTTAGGGCTTTAGGGCTTTAGGGCTTTAGGGCTTTAGGGCTTTAGGGCTTTAGGGTCTTAGGGTTTTAGGGTTTTGGGTTTAGGGGTTTAGGGTTTTAGGCTTTTGGGTTTAGGGTTGTGGGCTTAGGGTTCAGACGTTCTAGCACTCAGCTTAGGGTTTCTGGGACCCCTAGCCCTGATCAGCCGTCACCTCAGCCCATCTTTTTCGGCGGGGATCGCGGGGCACCCATGTTTTGATGCGCCGCTTGCGCTTCAGCTGCTGCTGCGACGAGGGGTTGCTTGAACTGAAACCCCGCTGTTGTCCCCTTTTTCTCTGGTCAGGGGTTCTGTTTTGTAAAGGGCAACCCTAAACCCTAAACCCTAAACCCCAAACCCTAAACCCTAAACCCCAACAAAAACAGGATATTAGGGCACCATGCTTTTTTTGAACAACCCCCCCCCAGCGGTCAGGGGCTCGGCTCCAGCTTGGCCAGGGCCGCCCTTTTCGCCGCGCCGGCGAGGGCATTCGCTCTGCCGGCTTCGCCGAGCGTGAACACCGTGAAGTCGGGCTTCTTCTTGCCTCCAGCTCGGAAGGTGGGGAGCTTGCTGGAAGCTTCTTCGGGTTTAGGGTTTGGGGTTTGGGGTTTGGGGTTTAGGGTTTAGGGTTTAGGGTTTAGGATTTAGGGTTTAGGGTTTAGGGTTTGGAGTTTAGGGTTTAGGGTTGCAGGGCTGTAGGGTTTTGCAGGGCTGTAGGGTTTTGCAGGGTTGGGGGATATTTGTGGGCTTCAATGCAGCTTCTTTGTGGTTACTCACAGGCCCCAAAGTACAGCAATCACAATGTCCAGATGCCCTAGACCCTCAATCCTGAGCCCTTAACCCTAAACCCGAAAACCCTACCAACCCAGAACTCTGAACTCTAAACCCTAAACCCCAAACCCTAAACCCCAAAACCCCAAACCCTAAACCCTAAACCCTAGACCCAGCTCCCGGCCTCGATAGCAGTGGAAGTAGGGCGACCTGGGCTGCTTTGAACTCAAAGGGGGATGGGATCGTGAGCCCTGGGTTTAGGGGTTTAGGGTTTAGGGTTTAGGGGTTAGGGTTTAGGGTTTAGGGTTTAGGGTTTAGGGTTTAGGGTTTAAGGGTTTAGGGTTTAGGGGTTTAGGGGTTTGGGGGTTTGGGGGTTTTAGAGGGTTTAGGGGCTTAGGGCTAGGCGGGGCCGGAAGGGACCCAGGGTTTTTTTTACAGTTCCTCTTCCCTCCCTGCACACAAAACCCTGCAAGTGCCGATAGGAATCCTGCATTTGCTCATTACTTACGGCCCGTGCAAAACCAGCAAAAACGCACGCGTCATTCAGAAACATGCTCCTACCACAGTGCAATCATGCATTTTATTCGTTTTTTTCGGGGTTTCTTCTTTTCTTCCACCTGTTAGCCTCCTTCGTTTTTCTACTTTGGGCAGTAAAAACTGGACCGAAATTATGTGTGTATGCTCGAGACCTTAAGCGCCCACGTTTTACACCAGAAACGGTATCATCAGTCCCATAGGGTTTGGGGTTTAGGCTTTGGGGTTTAGATTTCGCCTTCTTCTAGGATGAGTCGTGCACGATGATTCCATCCGTGTTGCCAGTGCGTGCGAATGGCCAGAGCAACCAATGTCCGCACGGTGTTTACGTCCGTGTTTCCAGTTCGTACGAATGGCCAGCCAGAGCACCCATGTCTTCACGATGATAACGTCCATGCTACCGCACGAATGGCCAGAGCATCCAAGTTCGCATTAGCACTGGGCCTGACACAACTCCCGATCGCAAGGGCAACCGCAAAAAACTACTAAGCACTGTCAACTAAGTCAGACATGTCATGTTCACTGCTGTGCGCAGATTTTGGCGTGGATCCCTTGTGGCCCCGTCAGGGTTCAGGGTTTAGGGTTTACCCTGTATTTGCCTTTCGTTCTAACTGTTTAAGGGTACAGGGTTGCAGCCTTACTTGCCTTGTTTTGTGGCGGTGCGTTTAGGGCTTTCTAGTTCATGGTTGGGATGATATTAAAAACCCAATTTTGTTTTTCCCTACTGGGCTTAAGCACCCCAACTATGACAAAGCTTTGGGGCTTCAGTCGCTCAGAGTCCATAAGAGTCTTCGGAATCGATGCCAGATGACCACAAGAACCAGACGCGAGAGCAAGCCAGGAGAGGCCTCTAAGGGAACATAGAGCCCAAAAAAGGGGGAATTCAGCTACTCTGTGTCGCCTTTTTTGCTTTTTAAGGCTCTAAGGGACCTACAGCCTCAAAAAAAAGGGGAATTGGGGCCTACTCTGGGTCCTAGAAGACAAGGCTCAGAGAAGCCTCTGTTGGTAAACAGCAGCAACGCAGCTTTTATGGCAGGCGCTGCTAGCGACTCAAGGGCCCTGTCGGTTTTGGGCCAAAGGTTCCACGGGTAGGACACACTGTACAAAGAACCCATGAAAACATGACTGCACTGACACTCCCAACTTTTTGTTGGGCCAAAAGCCGTGCAGGGCATGCACTCGTATGGGTCAGCATTGCTTCCCCAAGCCAGCCCATAAAGTCTTAGACTTTGGCGGCTTCCACCATATGGAGTGAAGTCAGCCGGAATGAACCGTAGCTGCTTCCAGGTCGGAAAGACAGGTAGGGGTCGTAGTAGCCACCTTCTGTCGTGTTTTGCTGCCGGGTAGCTCGTTGTGGGCTACGCACTACGGCACGGAAGAGAAGGTCAGACCTCGGACCTCAGCTGCACCCTGGGGTTGCGGAGCCAGTCGAGGAACGTGGCCCTCAGACTGTCTGAGATCTTCGTAAGGCCGTCGGCCCACATTGCGGTAGTGGGAACCCAGCGCATATCTTGCGGAGCGATGGTCTCCTGGATAGCGCGGATTGTCAAGCCGACCCGCTTCTCTTCGGTGTTGAAGTTGGCTGCTATGGCTGCGTCATACAGCGACTTGCAGTCCGTGGCGTGACAGTGGCGAAGTGTCTTTAGGTTATTGACGGGGTTTGCTTCACACCCGAAAATAATCTCTGAAAACATCTGGTTTGCCAGAACGCCTCGATCGATAGCGTCGTCGGCTGCGTAAGCCTCTCCCGCTAACGTCGATCGTACCACGCGTGGAGTACGGGTACTTTTCCAGTCGAGGAGTACGGCCGGCGCGCTCCCACTTAAAGCCTCGGGCGTCGTGAGGCACACGATCAAGCCTTCTTGAGACTTATAGTCTGCGGCATTTGCCCATGAGCAGTCGCCATATGTGGCTATGACCGTCTCCTCGTTGAGCGGAATGCCGTGGAAGGTGAGGCCGTCGACGTCGGTACGTTTGAAGTACTCCATCAAGCCATAGAGCTGCTTCAACTCTGCCAGGCTGGAGTCGTTGCCGCGGTTCGTCAAGGACACGCAGGCGGCTCCATCGGGTCTGGTCTGTCCAACCAGCCACTGTAGTGCTCCGCAGCAAGAGCGGAATTCGGAAAGCTCAGACTCCGTGAGCTTGGGGTTCTCACGGCTCCTTTGCCGCGTAATCTTGCCGGGAATCAGGGAGCGAATGTACTCCGTCTGTGTGACCCGCAAGACATACACGCCGTTTTCCTTGACCGTCCGGAGCTGCTTGCCCTTAAAGGTGATGACATCTTCATCGGAGGAGGTGCGTCCCCAGCGAAACAAGCTGGTGAGGACGTCCAGCTTGAAGGTGTCAGCGTAAGTGACTAGGAAGTCGTCCACGTATACCAGGGCTATGCAGTCAAGGCAGCCTTGGGGGTCGTAGTGCAGGAAGCACATGCGATCAAGGGCGTGCGGCCTGAAGCCGGCGTTTAGGAGGCGCTTACCCACCTCGAGGCTCCATAGTCGAGGGGCATTTGCCAAGCCGTAGACTGAGCCCGTTACCTCATACAAGGTTGCAGGAAAGGCACCTGCTTTTGCCAGGATGGGGTCGCGAGGGCTCATCATGTAGAGCTTGTGCGGGCGCTCCCCTTCATCTTGGGAACCTTGGAGGAATGCTGTTGTGGCGTCGGCACACCACAACTTCCACCGGCGTCCGTTCTTTAGGAACTTCCGGTTTCGACCTGAGATGTACACCGAAAGCAGAATGCTTTCTGTCAGCCGCGTAGGAGTCGGCGCATCTCTGGAGATGTGGTGCAAGTCCGGATCGCGGTGTCCGAGTACTACTACCCGCGTTTTAGCCTGGAGGTCGCCTTGACCCTGAGCTTTGTCGCGGTAGCACGCGCGAGACTTCAAGATCCGGGTTCTCAACAAGGGGTCGCGCATAACAGCGGTCGCCTCCTCGTCGGACAAGGGACGGATGGGGGCCCAAGACTCCCACTGTTCGTGCTCGCGTCGAGCTGACTCGACGTACTTGTCGAACACGATTCCTCCTTGCCGGACTATGTCGCGCCACGGCACTTCCCTGTTCAACGCCTTGAGTTCCTTCCGGGTGAGCTTCTCGACGTTGGCTAGCTTTCTTTGGTCTCCGACGTAGCAAACTTGCCAAGAGGAGTGGCAATCCTCGATGCCCTCTTCGACGGGGCATGGTATTGCCGGCGCGGCGTGCTCGGAGGCGAACACCTGCGGCAGTGCGGAGAGTCTCTCCGGGTGGTCGGGCTGCCAGTCTGAGCCATCCCAGCCAGGAGGTCGCAGGAAGATTTCGTCGTGCTCACAGACCAGGTTCGAGGAGAAGCTTGGTCGGGCACTTCGTTTGGAGGGCGTTGTTCTTCCAGACTGTGCCTCCGCGGTTCGCTTTGTCCCTTGGCTTGCCGTGTCGGTGTCCATGGCCTGCGGTGGCGGCTCCGCTGGAGGTGGAAGTGGAGGTGCGTCTGACGAGGCACTTGTTCTCCTTACCTTTTCCGGCGGAACCGTTATACCAGGCACCGAGGCTGGTGGAGCGTCCAACGCGGAAAACTGCTCCGGTGAACCGGGGCTTGTTGGAAACTCGAGTTCCGGAACAAGCGGTTCATCTTCCGGCGGGCCTTCGTTCTGATAGTCCTCGATTTGTCCGCTCAGGAAGTTTCTTTCAGCGTCCTTGAGGGCACGGATGTCTTCGTCGGTCGGGGACCATGCTTCGAAGCCATAAGCCGGTCTGAGCTGGTTGCGGTCGACTTTGACGGTCTGGGTACCAAGTTGCACCCACGCGCAGTGGCCATCAAAAGTGACTAGTCGTCCTATGATGTAGCCGCCTCGCTTTCGGGGGCCTTTGCCACGGAGCTGGGACCTCCACACGGCGCACTTAGCACCAGGTGTGATGTCGTCAACTCTCATACGCGCGGTTTTCCGAAGGAGGGCGCGCCTCACGTGTTGGTCCACGTTGACTTGCGCCGCTGCCTTCTGTGCTTCGGCTCTGTAAACGATGGTGTGGCGGTTGTGCTCCTCCAGGGGGATGTGGGCCGCCAGGGACGCATCGTCCGTTAAGAGCTCGCCGGGCACCCTATGCGGCCGAAGACTATGGCATAGGCCGACAGTCCTCGTGCGCGGGGCATGGTGTTAATGGCGTGGGTAGTTGCGTCCACGGCCTTTTCCAAGTCCTCGCGGGTGGCAGCGGCCATGCTGTCGACCACACGGTTGAGTACCTCGCGGGACCGCATTGCACCTCTCGGCTTTGCCTAGCCGGTGGTGGGCTTCGGGAGGAATGTAGTCCACTTCCGTGGAGTTGTCGATGAGGTAGGTCCAGAAATCTCCCATGAACGCACCGTCTTGGTCCAGGGTGATTTTGTGGGGAAAACCAAACGGGCGTACCCAGGTCGTGCGGAACGCCTCGATAATGGTTTTCGGGTTGCGGTCCTTTAGGACGCACACCTGCTGAAGGTTGGTAGCCTCGTCTACCATTCCAAGTAGTGGATAGTTCGTTCCGTCAACCGTTCGCGAATAGAAGATATCCATTTGCATGCTGTCGCCCAGCTGTCCGACGAACCGATCTATCAGTCGGGAGGGCCGTGCCGGGGTGTTCCCTTTCAAGCGCAGACAAGAGGCGCAAGAAAGTGCCTTAGCGGCCGAGATCGCTTCTGGCGTCACGGAGCCGCTCTGGGCCAGCATGCGCACGGTGTCGGCAGCTGACGGATGTCCTAAGTTCACGTGAAGTCGAGCCACGGCTCGTTTGATTTCACGTGGCGCTTGACAGCCTGGGAAGGTCACGTCCGCGCCGTGGACTTCCTCCGGCGGGACTTCGGGGTCCGCTACCGGTGGACCGGTGGCTGCCGGGGGCGCCGGCACATCACTCGGGTCCTCGGGCGCGTTGCCATAGACGCAGATGGCGTACCTTACAGGCTTAGCGAACCTTTGACGTGGGAATGCAATGTTGGCCACATCTTCGGATTCACACACCAACTCGTCATCGTTGTACAAGAGGATTGTGCCTCTATGTGTGAATGGGATGTCTCGAGGAAACCTCCTGGCCTTTGGTGACTTGGCCAATTGCACTCTTCCCACTTCCCATGGGAACAGCTCTTCCACTCGTCTTCGTATGTCATGGTCGGGAATCAGGGTGATCTGCAGCGTAGCACTTGTCCGGAACACCTGTTCCACTTGACCCATGACGGTCCGCCACTCGCGCTCGTCTTGTTGGTAGTCCAGGTAGTAAGTTTCGTGGAACGGGGGCTTGGTTGACACTCTGTCCCACATACCACAAGCTGGAGTGAGGGGTAGCTCGTCCTTTTCTTGGTGGAACCTTGTAGGTTCTATCTCCCTCACGACCCTGCGGACTCTTTCGGCCAGTCCTGCAGGGGTGGCATCGGGGTTTGGGTGAGCCAACCACTCATGGTTTGAGGCTATCCTTTCGTCGGCCTCAGCAACATGAGCGTGACTTTGTTCGAGATGCTGACCCATCCCCTTGATGCTCCACACAGGGTGGTCCCTGGGAGCGATGAGAGTCCAATAGTACCCTCTTCGCTGCTGTTTCTTGAGCAGCTTGAGGACTGCCTCTAGAGTCTCTGGTCGCGTGTGGGCTGTGCTTGAGGTCAGCCTAGCCGCAGCAACCAGGGGCCTGTGGTAGTCGAAGGCTTCGGTGAGGGCCTTTCGACCCTTGGGAACTCCGATGTCCCACGAGGGCTCCACCGTGTTGAGCCCCATGGCCTTCATGTTTTGCCCACTCTCACATGTCGTTATTTGAAGGAGGTCGCGCCCATATACAACTCTCCTTCGGACATCGGCAGCTCGGATGAGTTCTCGCTGAAGAGTCGCTTGCTCCAGGGTCAGGGCCCGGTGCGCCTTCCTGGCTTGCGACGCCAGTTGTTTCATCTGGCCTTTCTTCAGCTCTGGGCCAGGTCCCAATCGTAGAACTCCCCGTCGCTCCCGGGAGGGGACAGGTCGTAGCTCATCCCAGTCTGTCCGCTCGCCTGGCTCGCCAGGTCGAACTCCTCGGGAACGCGTCGGGTCTGGGGGCGGAACCTCTGTGTATCCTGCCTCCTGGTAGAAAGGGTACTCTTGGCCTTGGCCTTGGAACTGGTTCCCGTCGAACCCGTCGGTTCCAAGGTAGTTGCTGCCGTAGGTAAGGGCAACGTAGAACGCCCAGACGATCGTGGACACAATGCCCAGCCATCTCGGGCGTCGTCCCACTTCCAGCGGACTCCGCACTGGCGGCACTCTGCGTACCTGCCGGTTGCGTTCCCGTGCCGCTTCATGTGCGTGTGTGGGTGCGTGCAGTTGTCTTGCGTGACCTCCACCGGAGTGGCTGACGCCACCAGGTACAGGATGGGGCCTATGTTCAGCCGGTGGCATCGTCGGGCCATCTGCACGAAGCGGGGGAGCATGGTCATGAGCTCCACCAGGACTCGGCGCCATGAGACCAACCAGCTCGGAGGCGGTGGTGCTACGTGGCCCGGTCCGTGCATCGCTTAGCGCGGTTAGGGGCGAGGAGGGGGTTGTTGCTGACACAGTGCTTGAGCCAACAGCTGCGGTCCACACAGAGGCGTGACAGTCGACACCGCACTCGTGGTCACATGCAGGCGCCAAGGCTGGGTCCACAACCACTTCCTCACCTTGTTTTCGCTTCGTGTGCCAAGTGTCCGCAGATCTTGGCATCTCTTCTTTGAAGTCGGTGACACGTAAGGTCCAGGACCATTCCCAGCTGTTTCAAGAGACGCAGGGAGGCCAACAGAGGGATGCTTGTTTCCAGCAGCGAGGCAATGAGTACCATCGCTTTCCCCTCGATGGCGGCCGGAATGGCCAGCGACATCGATGACCTCTTTGGAGGGCCTGCGCCGAACTTGAAGTACTCCGCCTCGGGAGTCCAGGAGCACCGGAGGCCGAACTGTCGCAGGACCTCACAGTGGGCCAGGTAGGCTCTGCGGCCTATGCAGGTCTTTTGGCACGCCGTATCCACCACCATGAGCCCTGCCGCGGTGTCTGGCGCAGACGCCAGAACCTGTGACACCTGCGGGGGTACCGTGGTTGGGTGCTCGTCTGCCTGGCCTTCCCAGTTTGTCATCCAGACAAAGAAGGACTCGTAGGTGTCGTCCTGGCCGTAGTCACCTTCTCCTTCGTCTCCTTCAGTTACCTCTGGCGCCTCGTTGGGGTCGTGCCACTCGGCATCTTCATGGTCTCCATGGTCGGCGCCTTCCTCTTCGAGGTTCTCGGCGACATGGACCTTCGAGGGACCCTTGCCCTTCGAGGCCTTGCCTTTGTCGCCTTTGCCCTTCCCTTTACCGTGGTGGTAGGAGGGCTTGCCCGTGGCAGGAGGTCTCTTGGACGGACTGGTGGGGCTGCCCTTGCCGTCCGACCATCGTCTGCCCTGCGTAAAGGCTTTGAGCTTCTGGGCTGTCACAGTCAGCACCTCAAGGGCGCTGGTGAGCTCGTCCACGTCCGGGTGACTCTGGTCCGGTGCCTCCGGGGACTGGTGGTCATCCTCGTCGTGGGTGGTCACGTGGACCTTCTGCGACCTGTTCTTGTCGCCCTTCGGCTTCCCTTTGCCACTCCCAGGGCCACTGGCGATGGGGGGAACAGGGAGCGTGTCCGGGTACTGCAACAGCAGCGAGTCCCGGATGGGGGCGTACTCAAAGGACTGGCTCGAGCCGATCAGCACCATCCGGGCCTGCTCGGAGGACAAACCAGACCTCTCGAGGAGCCGGTGGCCGAGGGCCTCGCCACTGTACATGGCTGCGGACACCAAGCGCCCTCGGCTTGAGCGGAAGCGCCAAAACCTGGGACCCCAGGAGCGGCCCTGCCCCCGGCGTGAGATGGAAGAGCGGTGCACCACCAGTGCCGCCCCGCTACGCGGCGGAAGCCAAGGAAGTCGGAACTTTCGACCGCTACGCCAGGAGGGTACGCCTGTGGGCAAAACGGGCTTCCGGCTGGATGACGGATGGAGACGCTGCGCTCCTCCTCGTCGAAAGCCTGACAGGCGCAGCAGAGCGCGAGCTGGAGTTCGTGGAGCTCGCGACGCTCGAAGCCGAGGGAGTTGAAGGAGTGCTCAAGAGGCTGGAAGCCGCGTCCAACGAGCAGCTCGTCTACCGCAAGCACCACTATCTCCGAGGATGGGAACAGGTGCGACGCCTTGGAGGCGAGTCCATGCGGACCTACGTGCACAGGTTCGACCAGCTCCACAAGCAGCTGGCGCATGTGGGCGTGGACGGTCGAGCTGGTGAGCCAAGCCCGGGTTCCAGTGGTGACAAGGGGGCAGGACCGCTTCGAGGCCTTGAAGACCTTCCGGAAGCGCTTGGAGGCTTGCAGGGCCTTCCCGTGCTGGCTGCCTTGCCACTGGGCGTCGAAGGCCTCTCACCAAGCTCGGACGGAGTGAGGTCGACGATGGGGTCCGTCGTCGCCGGCTCGCTTTCGGCCTGCTCTTCGTCGTCCTCATCGTCACCTTCATCATTGGGCTCGTCGTTGTCGTGGTGGTGGCCGCCACGCCTGTCGGCCGGGGGTCTCTCATCTCCCTCCGCGGCCTCTTCCTTCACCGGCGCGTCGTCCCGGGGCTCCTCTTTGGCGCGCGGGCGGCGCGGAGGGCCTGCTGCCCTTTCCTGCGCTTCCCGCCGGCGGCGCCTCTGGGCCAGTCCGGGGCGGTTGCGGCGCTTGTAGTCTCCTCCTGTGCCTTTGCCGGAGACTCTTTCCTTCTTTCCTTTCTTCCCCCTGCCCTTGGCTCCTTTGCCTTTCTGCGACTTCCCCTTTGGCGCGCGTGGGGGTCGCTCCGCGTCTCTGCGCGGGGTGGGCGAACGTTGCCTTGTTCGCGGCGGCGCCCGGCGCGTCGAGCGACCACGCTGGTTACGGCGGGAGTCCCGGGAGTCCCTGCTGTCGTCACCGTCGTAGTCTCGCCAGTCGCACGGCGGCCTGCCGCGCGTCGCCGCCGGAGGCCGCTCCGGACCTCTCGGTGGTGTTCGTGGCCGTTCGCTTCCACGTGACGTTGGCGTTGTCGCGGGGGCAAAGAACCAGTAGGAGTGACCAGCGGGCTGCGCGATCCACACCCATGTCCCGTCGCCGAGGCCGGGAACTACGGGTGGAGGACCGGGTGGCGTGAGCTGGGTAGCTTGGCTTCCCTGTGCACTGCCACCGGCGCTGGGGTCTCCATCGTAGAGGTCGTCCTCGTAGGGGTTGTGTCCCGCAGCACGCGCCCTTGGCGTAAGGGGTGGCTCCCCGTCCGCAGTGTCGTTGCTCGGGGGCCTCGCCTTGGCGGCCGTCGTGGCGAGGGCAGCGTCCCTCTTCGCCTTGGCAGCTGCCACGCTGTGCACCCGGGGAAGTGGTTCCCTCGTGGGTGCTCCGTCTTGGGCCGCCTGGGCTCCTTTCTGCTCCGGGGCCTTTCGTCCCTCGTGAGCCTCTGCACGGTCTTCCTTGCGTGCCTTCTTTGCCTCCTTCTGCTCCTTCTTCTCTCTGCGCGCCCTTTCCTTCTTCTCCTTCTTCCTTTCCTCCTTCGTCTTCCCTGACGGGGCGCGCTCAGGCGCCGCCGGAGGTGGCAGCGGTGGTTGGCTCTTGGTCGCCACACGCTGCTGCTGCGGGGGCGCTCGGCCTGGAGAACTCGGCACCACGGGGTCCGTCTGAGGAGGTTCTTCTTCTTCCTCTTCTTCTTCCGTGTAGTCGTCCTCCTCCTCTGGCTCGTGCCGGTCTCCGGCGTTTGCCCTCCACGTCCGCTGTTGCGGCGGGGGCATAGGGCACTCGCCGCAAAATGCGGGGCGCAGCTGGCACACTCAGCCGAAGCGAGGTGCAATGGGGCACGCTCGGTCGGTAGGTGCAGTAGGGCACACTCAGCCGAGGCGAGGTGCAGTGGGGCACGCTCCGCCGAGGCGAGGTGCAGTGGGGCACGCTCAGCCGCAAGGGCGGGTGCACGAAAGGTAAAAACCTCTGGGTCCGTGGACCTCTCAGAGGGTGGTAGGGCGGATGCGGTCAACCCAAGGTCCCGACTTACACTCGCTCCGCTACCAGTGTTGGTAAACAGCAGCAACGCAGCTTTTATGGCAGGCGCTGCTAGCGACTCAAGGGCCCTGTCGGTTTTGGGCCAAAGGTTCCACGGGTAGGACACACTGTACAAAGAACCCATGAAAACATGACTGCACTGACAGCCTCAACCCTATGCCCTTAACCCTAAGCCCTTAACCCTAAACCCCAAAACCCTCTAGAAACTCTAAACCCTAAACCCTAAAGCTCAGTGAAGCAAGCGAGTGGCAGGTGCATCGGAATCGGCGGCTGCCGTGGCACCGCCGAGCGTCCCTGCAGAACCTTTCAGGGGAGAATCCGAAGCGCCTGAATCCCAGAAATTCGGGGGGGGGGGGGGGGGGTATCCCGGGGCGGTTTAGGGTTTAGGGTGTAGCACCGGTCAGCTGGACGCGATAGTTTGAAGACATGCCCACCCCAAGGCCACCCAATCACAACTCACGGCAAAACCAAGCCGGAGCCAGCCAAAACCAGCCAGCCATTCAACATTTTTCTGCGTCAGATTAGTGTGGTTATGAAATGAGGCCTTATGAAAAACATTCCCAGAAGCTTGTGTTCAGGACATGTAAAGAAACTGCAGCCAAAAAAAAGGTTTTGCGTTGGGGGAGTCTTCGGCCGGAGGGCCTTCTCATTGTTTTCTTTTTTCTCTATGTCGGATTGTCGAGCGGGTTTTTTCGAAGCTTTGCGCAACATAGTCAGAAGTTTCCGAGTTAAAGGCTCAGAAATGGTCTGGGAGAAGCCCAAAGAAACTCAGAAATGGTCTGGGGGCAGCCCAGAATCCCAGAAATCCCAAAAAAAGTTGGTCTGGGAGAAGCCCAAATAAGCTCAGAAATTGGGGGGGGCAGCCCAGAAATGGTCGGGTGAAGCCCCAAAAATTCTGAAATGGTCTGGGAAAAGCCCAGAAGCCCAAAAAGGCTCCAAGAAACTGTCCGGGAGGAGCCCTAAAAGGTGCAGAAAAGGCTCAGAAACTGTCCTGGAGGAGCTCAGAAGGCTACTGGGAGGGTTGAAGGTCCTCCTGCCTTTACTTGAAGGGGTTTAAGGCCCCCGTGCCTCCTTGGGAAGGGTTTAAGGCCTTGCTTACTGGGAGGGTTTAGGGGCGGACTCCCGACAGCAGAAAAATCTAGGGTTTAGGGTAATAAAATATACTTAGGGACTATGCTAGGCGACTCTAGCTTGGCGACCCCTCAGGGGTGCGGCTGCAGGCTCTGCAGCTCAGCAGAGCCTGCCATGGTCTCGCTGACGCCCACTCACCCACCAAAGGAGAGGGGCGGTGGGCGGGTTTAGGGTTTAGGGTTCAGGGTTCAGGGTTTAGGATTTAGGGTTTCGGGTTCAGGCGCATCAGGTAGCCTACAAAAATTAAGTTTTGGGTTCTGAAGGCAAGGGTTTCGCGACCCCCTCGTTCCCCGGCCGCGTCCGCAAAGGATGCCCAGCCAGGCAGGGGCCCCACGCGCAGGGGCGCCACCACCACCTCGGATGCCGCGGGCTCCGGTGCGAGCCCAACAGTTCTGCAGCTTTAGGGTTGAGGGTTTAGGGCTTAGGGGTTAGGGTTTAGGGTTTAGGGTTTAGGGTTTAGGGTTTAGGGTTTAGGGTTTAGGATGTAGGGTTTAGGGTTTAGGGTTTAGGGTTTAGGGCTTAGGGCTTTAGGGGTTCAGGGTTTAGGGTTTAGGGGCTTCGGGGTTTTTTGGGGCTCAGGGTTCCTATGAAGCCCGGGCGCCGTCTCCACCGCGGAGCTCAAGGCGACCTTGCGCAGCGCGTCGCCGGCATCGGCGGGGGGGTGGAAGCCTCGGGGCTGTTTCTTGCTTTCTTGGGGGGGAGGGGGGGGAAAGTAGGGAGGGAGTTTTAGGGTCCTTGGGGGGGGTTTCGGGGGCTTTGGGTTTTGGGGGGTTTGGGGTATGGGGGTTCAGGGTGTAGGGTTTAGGGTTTTGGGGTTTAGGGTTTTGGGGCTTACGGGGTTGGCGTGCAGGGCCTCTGGGCTTTATAGGGTGTTCGGGTTTTGAGTCACGGGCTTGGTTCATGGTTTAGGGTTGAGAGAGGGGAAGGGGCAGGAGGGAGGAACTTTGTTCCACAGAGCTTGGTGGGAGTTGAGGGTTTAGGGTTTAGGGTTTAGGTTTTTGTTAGGGTTTAGGGTTTAGGGTTTAGGGTTTAGGGTTTAGGGTTTAGGGTTTAGGGTTTAGGGTTTAGGGTTTAGGGTTTAGGGGCTTCGGGTTTAGGGTTTAGGGTTCAGGGTTCAGGGTTCAGGGTTTAGGGTTTAGGGTTTAGGGTTTAGGGTTTAGAGTTTAGGGTTCAGGGTGGGTGCCGACCCCATGATTCATCTCTCCTCTCACCTGGATGTTCCCTTCTGCAGTCACGGTGCATCCGCTGCTGCCGCCGACAAACCTTTGGCAGATAAACCATATTTTTATATGTTTGTTTATTATTGTTCATATTCTGGTTGTTACTATTTTGTTATGTATATATAAAACACATATACACATATAGCAGCAAGCAAAGAAATGTTTATGTGTACATATATATGTACATATATACGTATGTATACATACATGGTGGGCTTCAAGGGGGTTCATCCACTGCCTGGGCTACTGGTCAGGGAATCTTGAGCAGCCCCTGCGCACCTCACCCGTGGGTTTCCCTTTACACCCTAAAGCCCCGGAACACCAAAATCCTGGGGTTAGGGTTTCGGGTTTAGGGTTTAGGGTTTCGGGTTAGGGCTTAGGGTTTAGGGTTTAGGGTTTAGGTTGAGGGTTGAGGGTTGAGGGTTGAGGGTTGAGGGTTGAGGGTTGAGGGTTGAGGGTTGAGGGTTGAGGGTTGAGGGTTGAGGGTTAGGTTTTGGGGTTTGGGGTTTGGGGTTTGGGGTTTGGGGTTTAGGGTTTAGGGTTTAGGGTTTAGGGTTTAGGGTTTAGGGTTTAGGGTTTAGGGTTTAGGGTTTAGGGTTTAGGGTTTAGGGTTTAGGGTTTAGGGTTTAGGGTTTAGGGTTTAGGGTTTAGGGTTTAGGGTTTATGGGTTTAGGGTTTAGGGTTTAGGGTTTAGGGTTTAGGGTTTAGGGTTTAGGGTTTAGGGTTTAGGGTTTAGGGTTTAGGGTTTAGGGTTTAGGGTTTAGGGTTTAGGAACCCCCTTTTGCCTTTCTTGCCCAGAGCTTTGCTTGCCCAGAGACGGCGGGAGCAAAAGGACCTCGATACCTTGCGCCGCAGCGCCTCGGGACGGTTCTCAAAGTGTCGGTTCTCTTGTTGGCACGTGGGGATTTTAGGGTTTAGGGTTTAGGGTTTAGGGTTTAGGGTTTAGGGTTTAGGGTTTAGGGTTTAGGGTTTAGGGTTTAGGGTTAGGGTTTAGGGATTTGAGGGTTCAGCATGTAAAGTTTAGGCTGTAGGATTTGGGGTTTAGGCTTTAGGCACTAGTGTCTAAGGCTCCGCATTGTACGAAGTTTGAGAGAACCGGCCGGGGTTCCGAACCGGCTGCGGGGAGTTTTTGGCGGTTGAAGCTTGTAGGGCTGCTGAGCTGTGCGACTTGGCTTTATAGCGCAAATAGCTTTTCAGGTGAGTTCGTGCTGTTCCGGATCGAAGGCCGCCATGCATGTTTAGTAGCCTGTGGGCTTGGTGCTTACGGTTTTGGGACCTTTGAGGCTTGAGGCTTTCGAGCAGCTTCGCGTAGTTGATGAGACTGGCGAGCCCTGTGCAAAAGCCTCTGACACAAGATCCTCCTGAAAGCCATGAGCGAAAATGATAAATATCCCAACGTCCTACCCTTAAGACTAGAAACCTTCTAATCCCTACGGCCAAAAAGGAATTCTGTTACAAAACTCTTTCTGTTCCTCGCAGTGCTTTCAACCACAATAATTTTGTCAGTAGGCCGAGCAAAGCCTGAACCCACAGGAGCCTCGCGAGCCCCAGCAGCACTGGAGAGTCTGGAAGCTTAAACCCTCAAGGCCCTGGAAACCCGACACCTTGAACCCCCCCAGCCCGAAACTGACACTCTAAGTTTAGAGTTCAGGGCTTCGGGTTTAGGGCTTAGGGTTTAGGATGTTCAAGCATATCCCAGAGCCGCTCCAAAGCTTGATCCCTAAACCTCTTATCTGGAAAAGGCTTCTTGGCAGGGTCTTAAGGGTTTTAGGGTTTAGGGTTTAGGGTTTTAGGGGTTAAGGCTAAGGGCAGGCTGAGTTGTGCAGAGCCAAGGCGCATGTAAAAAGATCATCCAGCGTCTTGACAACCTCATACAATCGCAGGTGCTCCAATTCTGGGGTCCTTTTTGGGGTTCCCAGTCTAGCACGAAGCCTCAGATGCACCACACCCCAAAAGGTGACCAGAATTGCTTGAGAACCGTCAGATGGAGGCTTCAGTTTTTCCTCCTTGAATTGAAGGCCCAGCACCCCAAACCCTGAAACCCTAAACCCCCATAGCCCCTAGAGCAAATAAACACCACAAACAATAAATTGTTTTCTGCGTCTGGACGCCCGTTTGCATGAGCCTACTCCTGTGACGCCTGCTCTTCAAGCTACTCACGGGGCGGGTCCGCTTCGCCGCTTTGCCCAAGTCCTTGGGGCGCTTGAGAGACGCGCTGGAAGTCCCTGACTTGATGTGGTGGAGCACAAGGTGCGGGTGCTCTTGCCGCTCTTCGTCCTGCGCCCCCGCCTCTTTAGCACGCTCAGGCGCGTAGCCTCGCCGGTAATCCTTTGACAGTCGGTCTCCCGTTTCCACCCACAATGTAGCATAATGTGCGATTTTGTGGGCTGTACAGGGCTCTGTTGCGCCTTGCAAAAACGAAGATGACTTTCTCAACGTCTCGTACCGTTAACCCAGAAGTTCCTGAGGCTCCCCCTACCTGCGCTCTGGTCACAGGAGTGCCCCTACTGTGCTCAGCGGTCATTAAGGGGGCCCTAAATAATCAACTTAAACCCTAAACCCGAAACTCTAAACCCTAAACCCACACATTCTCTCCCTTTGCTAAGAAAGGCTTCTGCAAAGCGACATCGGCTTTCTCCGCGATCCGGGAGTACTGCCTGAGGCAGCGAATCGACATCGGCGAGTGCGCGGGTGGTTCTAGGATGTTCTAGGTTAAAGGTTCAGGGTTTAAGGTTTAAGGTTTAGGGTTTAGGGTTTAGGGGATTGACGTGTAGGCTTTAGGGTTGAATTCGTTCGGGTTGAGGGCTGAGGATGGAGGGTTTGGGGAAGCAGTCTCTGTCACCATACAGGGGCCAGACTGGGGGAGGCATTCCCATGTGCCCGGGGGGGGAGGGTGCCCTTGTAGCTTTAAAACTAAGCCTCAACCCTTTTGTAAACAAACCCCATCAAACCCCCTTTGTCCTTGCCCACATGGTCCCGACAGGAGCTAGAAGCAGCGACAGAAGAATTGAAGGTCTTTTGGGTTTAGGATTTAGAGCGCAACAAAATACCTCTCACTTGGCAGGTGCGGCCGTAAGATGGTATATTTAACTCCAGTCGCAAGTAGGGCCCAGAGCTTAAACAAAACTTGACCCAAGAGTAACCTTGGAATGAAAAGAGCAGCCTCTTTGGCTGAAAGGGGCTTGAAAGGAAAAAAAGGGGAAGAATTAAGGGCCTACTCTGGGTCCTAGAAACCCTAAACCCTAAACCCTAAACCCTAAACCCTAAACGGCCCTAAACCCTAAAAAGGGGAAGAAGGGCCTACTCTGGGTCCTAGAAGGCATCGCAGGGGTAGCCAAGCAGCTCGTGGGCATCTGACTTCGGTGTGCGCTGAAGCCCACCAGCCGTCAGCACCTCCCACTCGGCTAAGGGGTTTAGGGTTTAGGGTTTAGGGTTTAGGGTTTAGGGTTTCGGGTTTGGGGTTTCGGGTTTAGGGTTTCGGGCTTCGGGCTTCGGGCTTCGGGCTTAGGTCAAGTGTCGCGACCTGACTGACGTTTTGGGGCTCAGTTGGTGCAGGATTTGTGGGGTATTCGGGTCGATAAGGGCTCGCGCTTGAGGGTATTTGCAGGAATTGGACCGAACCTGGCTCAAAGGATTCAGGTTTTCGAGGGCGGTCGAAACGAAGGGTTACAGTCAGCTTGAAGACCCTCAACCCCAAACCCCGAAAGTAAACCCCCTAACCCCCTGAAACCCCCCTAAGCCCCCCCAAAACCCCGCAAAACCCCCCAAAACCACCCCATACCCCCCCCCCCCCCCCAAACCCCCTAACCGACCCCAAAACCTAAACCCCCCAAAACGCTCCGGAGCCTCGATCTCAACGGGCTCGGTCCAAGGCGCGCCCGCCTGGGGAGGGTTGCCGAGGGCTGTTGCAGGGCTTGGGAGGGTTTAGGGTTTGGGTTTAGGGTTTAGGGTTTAGGGTTGAGGGTTTAGGGTTTAGGGTTTAGGGTTTAGGGTTTAGGGTTTAGAGTTTAGGGTTTAGGGTTTAGAGTTTAGGGTTTAGGGTTTAGGGCATGTGGGGCATTTGGGGCATTTGGGGCATTTGGGGCCTACGGGTTAGGGTTTCAGGTTAAGTGTTAGGGCTTGGGGGTTTTGGGGTTTTAGGGCTTTCGGGCCGGGGTAGATTGTAATTATAGGGCTTCGGGTTTAGGGCTTCTGGGGCTTATAGGGCGGAAGGGCTCAGCTCGAAACTTCATCGGGGTCCGGGTCCGCATGCTGTAATGAGAAATACATACTAAATAATAACCCCTAAATCCTGAACCCTGAACCCTAACCCTCCGCCCTAGACCCTAGACCCTAAACCCTAGACTCTAAACCCTAAACCCTAAACCCTAAACGCCCGACGGGCAAAGCAAACGCACGCACCACGCCTCGAGCTCACCCCGAACGATCGTGACGTGGGCCTCGCAGGCTCTGTTGGTGGCACACTAGTAGGGGTTTAGGGTTTAGGGTTTAGGGTTTAGGGTTTAGGGTTTAGGGTTTAGGGTTTAGGGTAACAACAACTGATCAGAACCCCCTAAACAGGGTACCCCCAAACAGCACGCCCTCACAGGGATGCCTTGTTAAGGGTCCTTCAGAGCAAATTCTAACTGTAACTACCAAAGAAGAGCACTAAACCTTTTTGTTTGGGTGTCCGGGAAGCAAGCCAAGAAGTCAAACGGCACTGACCCCAGGACCCGCCCCCAAAAAACCGAATGCATCCGAATAAACCGCACAGACCTCTAAGCCCACACCGCTTAACACCCCGCCGTGTAGATGATCGCGCCCTGGCCGAGCACGTCCTCCACCTGAGAGCAAGGTCTTGAGCGGCTTGGGGAGCTCTCTATTCGGGCCTAAATAATTAGAAAAGGGTTTCGGGTTCGGGTTTAGGGTTTAGGGTTTAGGGTTTAGGGTTTAGGGTTTAGGGTTTAGGGTTTAGGGTTTAGGGTTTAGGGTTTAGGGTTTAGGGTTTAGGGTTTAGGGTTTAGGGTTTAGGGTTTAGGGTTTAGGGTTTAGGGTTTAGGGTTTAGGGTTTAGGGTTTAGGGTTTAGGGTTTAGGGTTTAGGGTTTAGGGTTTAGGGTTTAGGGATAATTAGAATAGGGATTTGGGGGTCACGATAGTATAATGAGAAAAGACAGCATAAGGGTATTCCGACCCGTTTAATTAGTACGGCCCAGCGTCTCCGGGCCCAAAAAACGAAGGCGTTCGCGAGCCAAAGTGGATTCAGGGCTTCCATAAGGGTGTTGGGGGCGGGTTTCTCTTGTCTTTGGGCGCCTCTGGGTAGGGGTTTCGGGTTTAGCGCTTAGGGTTTGGGCCTGGGGTTTAGTGTTTAGGGTTTAGGGTTTAAGACACTTCCTTCAGTCATTCACTTGCTCCGGGACTTTCGGGTTTAGGGTTTTTTGGGGTTTAGGGCTTAAAAAACCCAAACAACCCAGGCAATCGTCCGCCTCACGGTGCATTTGCCGGGGCATTTCTTCGGCGGCATAGAGATAGGTCGTCCTCCGGGTCTCGATTTTCAAGGCGCTGCTAAGTGCTGCTAGTTGCCAGCAAGGTGCTCTTCGGCTCTTGCCACTGGACCCTAGAACGCCCGACTCTGGTTTTTTCAGAGAGCCCAGGCCCTCTTTTCCCCTGCCCCGGGGCTTCTAAAGCGTCCTGAAGAAGAGCTGGGACTCTCGCACGTCTCGAAAGCACCTTTGGATGTTTTGACGGAAGGGTTCTGGGTGCAGGGCTTAGATGGGCTTAGAAGGAGCGTCTCAAGTTCCGTGCCTCTGTGCGAATTCGCAGTAGAAAGTGTGGGGCGCCCCAGACCCTAAACCCTAAACCCTAAACTCTATAAGCCCTAAACCCTAAACCCTAAGCCCTTTAACCCCAAACCCCAAACCCCCAACCCAACTCCCAGCAGGAAGTGGCGCGGGGGCCCGGTCGCGAAGTGGACGAGGCCACACCGCTTGCCGGGGAAGCGGCTGCAGAGCTGGAAGAGGTCCTTCCATGAAACTTAAGGGAGGGCTCAGAGCTTAGGGCTTAGGGCTTCGGGCTTCGGGCTTAGGGTTTAGGGTTTAGGGTTTAGGGTTTAGGCTTGCGGGGTCTAGTGGTTTAAGGGTTGAGGGTTGAGGGCTCAAGGCCCAGTACGCTCTAACTTAGAACCCTAAGCTACACCGATTTAAACAATCAAACCCCAAGCCTCTACACCAAACACAAAGCAACAACATCAAAAATCCTAAAAAAAAAAAACCGAAAAAACACACCTTCAAACATTTGATATTCAATAGGCCCTAACAAAACCCTCACCAAAAGCCCTTAAGAACCCTGCATACACACGCCCTCCCACCTCGTCGTGGGACACGATCAGCTCGGGACTCTGCCTTTTTACAGGGACGTTGAGGAGTTTCGTCCCCTCCCAAGAATATTCATTTTAAACGTGCCCCCGAATATTAAAGCCCCCTGCCCCCATATATAGTATACCTATAATGGGAGTATGTAATGTTAGGGGGTTGGGGAGGGGGGGTTCATATTAGGGGGGAGGGGATTAGGCTTTTGGGGTGTTTAGGGTCTGTGGGCTTCGTAGGTTTGGGGGTTTGGGTTTAGGGTTTCAGGGCTTGTAGGGCTTGGGGGTTCGGGAGGCTTGGGGTTTCTTCTGTTATAGCGTTTGGGGTTTGGGGTTTGGGGTTTGTCGGACTTCGGTTTTTTGGGTTTGGGGTTGGGGTTTTGCAGGTTCATTGACACTACTCAGGGTTCAAGTCCGGAGAACGTTTTGGGAAACGTTTGGAACAAGCTTCGAAGAAAGTTCCGAGGAGTGTCTTTGCTACCTTGCGAAGAATTTCACGCTACAGGGGCTTGAAGGCATAGGGTTTTCAGGGTTTAGTTGTCTCAAGGTTGAATGCGTTTCGGGCTTTGGGTGTTTTTAGGGTTTTGCAAACGGGTGCACTTCCACGCCAAGGTTTGGGAGCTGGTGAAAGCTCTTGTTTGAAAAATGGACTACGTCAAAGGGCGATACGGGATGCTCCCAAAGAGCCCCATAACCCCCTTGATTCAGGAATGAACCTCAAATCATATGAAGGATCACTTTAAAACATATGGTATATTCCTTAAGAAAGGGGTATCGTGCTCTTTGGATGGGTCCTCCCGGGGATGTTGAAAGGCCTGAGGTGTGAGATCACCGGATGTTGAAGATTCGGGGCTTGGGGTTGAGGGCTGAAGGTTTATCGTGAGTTTTCCTACTACCCCCCTCTCTACTACCTCCCCCCCCTAACTTCCCCCCTAGGTCTTAATTCGGCTTAATTCTCCCTGAATAGCCTTAATTATGTGGAACCTAATTAGGGAGGAGGTGAGCTTAGGGGTAGTATGGGAACCCATCAGCTGGATGAGATGCACAGTTGTTGCTGCTTGTTGCTTGCCTGTACGGGCGCGCTCTCGGGGTTCTGCACTTCGGCTTTAGGCTCTGAACCCCAAACCCTGAGGACACCCCAAACCCCAAACCCCAAACCCTAAACCAGAAGGGCCTGGCAGGAAGTGGCTGCTCTTGCGCCGCGTGTGCCCGGGTCCACGCCGTGGACAAGGGCCTTCGCTGATGGGTCCCGGGAGTTCTGAGGACCCTTTAGGCTTTAGGGTTTATAGGGCTTAGGGCTTAGGGTTTAGTGTTTAGGGTTTAGGGTTTGGGATTGCCGAAAATAAGGGGGGGGGGGGGGGGGTCCCCTGTTTGGGGGTTCCTTTTCGGGGATTCTATTCAATTACACACCCACATGGGTAGTTCTCTACGGTTGTTCGAAATTGCTTCACGGGAAAACGACCATTCTTCGCGAAACGCTATTTGTCTTTCGCGGGCCCATCGCGGACTTTCGCGGACCGTCATTTCCATCATCTGATGGTCGACCCAGTACAACTCGAAGACAAGGGGGGGTTTTGAACAACCCTCATGAGGATCAACGGGACCCAAATATTTAGCTCTGAGGGCCTTGTTGAGAATTTAGGCTTACGAATTGTGGGCCGGGGGGGGGGGGGGGGGGGGGAGCCCTCGACTCTGGACATTAGACCACACAAAGAGGCCTCATTGAACGCCGTTTTCAGGTGTGGGTCGCTGAAGGCCCGGAGGGCTCGGCTGCTTTAGGGATTTCAGGTGCGCGGTTTCAGCTCTTGAGCTCTGAATTCTTTTTCTGTTGTTTTTGTTGGTTTTTGGGGGGGGAGGGGGGAGGTCTTTAGGGTTTAGAGGTTATGGTTTAGGGTTTAGGTTTGGGGTTTAGGGTTTAGAATTCAGGTCGATTTGAAACACTGAACCTCCAGCCCTGAATCCCCTTTGGCGATGCCCTCATCTGATCTCTTCACAGCGGCGCTCGCAGCTCAATCTGCCGCTTCGCGGGTGCTTGGTAGCCTGGGAACCATTGGCTCATGATGCTTCATGATTTGGTGGCTCAGGCGGTTTCTCAGGGGGCGAAGCTACGCACGAGCCACTATGTTGCGCGTGAGGCTTTGGGCTGCGGGGTGGGGATCTGCCATGGGACCATAAGGAATTAGTAAGGAAAGTGCCCCAACTTCGAGAACTGAACTGCAGCATGTATGGTCCTTCCTCAGGCCACATGCTTCCAAGCACGTGGGCTCCGGACAGCCCAACAACCTGCACAAACTTTTTCCAACCCGAGTCGAACACCCGAGTCCCTGAATGTGCGTCCTCAGGTGCGTCGCCAAACGACAACACTCCGGAACCACCCCCCGAAAGTCAGATTGCTAAACACCTTTACCCACCCTGTCAAGAGGCTGGGAGACCAATATGAGCCATCTTGGCAAGCCTCGGAAGAACGCGGTTCCAGGAAAGTCCTTTAGAAAAACTTCGTAAGTAAGATCCTCTTGAACCCCAGAACGGAAAGCAACAAAAATCCCCTGTTGCGGGTTTGGAAGCCAGGCCCACCCCCTAACAGGAATTGTGGCCAATAGGGACATGATTGGGGCTCGTTAGAACTGTAGCTTTATTGGGCTTGGTTTGGTGCGTAGAAACAGTGATGGAATAAGAAAAAGGAAACCCTGTTGTAGGCACAATGAGGTAAGGGGAAAAGTCACTCGAAAGCGCAGATCCGAAACCCGAAACCCGAAACCCGAAACCCGAAACCCTAAACCCTAAACCCTAAACCCTAAACCAACCCTAAACACTAAACCCTACCCCCCTACACCCTAAACTCCAAGCCCCAACCCCCGAAACCCGAAACCTTACAAACACTAAACCCTAAACCCCACAAACCCTGAACCCCGCAAAGCCTAAACCCTACACCCTAAACCCTAAACCCCACAAGCCCCCAAAATGCCCTTGCACGATGCCACGGCCTGGAGGGTGCCCACGGCCACGGCCTGGAGAAGTCCTGCAGGAGGCGGACTCTCAATTCAGGTTCGGGGTTTAGGGTTTAGGGTTTAGGGTTTGGGGATCTCAAGTCCAAGCATTCACTAGTCAAGCAATTTATCGAGCGTTGGAAAATACCTACCCGCCCAAAGCCCATTAAACCCTATTATCAGCCCTATTGTAAGCCTTATAAACCCTAGAAATCCTGTGAAACCCTATCCCCTAAACCCTATCATAAGCCCTATGAAGTAAAATCCCTAGAAACCCTGCAGTAGGGGCCTTAATAATCAGAATCTAGGGCTGCAGTATATTTACATCGGGACCAGAAGGGAAGACTATTCGTACTATTCCGACGCCTATATTTAGAATTTCTTGAAAGCGGTCCTTCGCGCCTGCGCTGGAGCAAAGATGACGACGGCCGCCTTGCAGAGGTGTAGGGCTTGGGGTTTAGGGTTCAGGGTTTGGGGTTTAGGGTTTAGGATTTAGGGTTTAGGGTTTAGGGTTTACGGTCTAGGGCTTAGGGTTGAGGGTTTAGGGTTTAGGGCTACTACCCCGAAACCCTTCTATTATGGTCCTCCAAAGGACCCCAGGAGCCTCAGGTGGGTGGAGTAGAGCCGCGGCGTCCTGGGCGGCGGCTCACTGCGCTGCAGCTCCTGCAAGGGCACAGGGAATTTGTTACCAGTACATGTAGGGTTTAGGGTTCGGGGTTAAGGGTTTAGGGTTTAGGGTTTCGGGTTTAGGGCTTAGGGTTTAGGGTTTCGGGTATCATTGTTATCATTCTTGGTTTAGGGTTCTGGGTGTTGGTTTAGGGTTTATTTCCATGTGAATTATCATTCTGAACATCTACCATGATAATTACTCGTTCTTGTATAAGTACAAAGAGGCAAACCCTCAAGTCATACACAGAATTGTGATGTGAGGGGGGGGGGCTCATTAGGTTTCAGCCGCACAAGCCTGTGGCTTGTATTGAGGGCTCTTGTCTCACATTGTAGGTAGTGGGCAATATTCCGTGTTTTTGACTGGAACCCTTGTTTAGGGTTTAGGGTTTAGGGTTTAGGGTTTAGGGTTTAGGGTTTAGGGTTTAGGGTTCAGGGTTCAGGGTTCAGGGGTGCTGTTTTTGCTTGCATTGAACTCCCCCAAAGACCGGCGGCATGCCTTGAGCTGCTCGGCGGTCGCCTCGACGCACAGCTTGCGCCAGTCCCGGATGTCGCCTCTCCATTTGGAGACCTGCAGGACACGTTTAGGGTTTAGGGTTCAGGGTTTCGGGTTTAGGGATCAGGGCACAACCCCCACAGTTACTCTAGTTTCGACATGTGCGGGGTCACGGTGGAGGTGTTGCCCAAAGGTGTTGCCCCAGCAACTTACAAAAGCACCGAAAAGCGGCGAAACCCAATCCTGCCGAAGCATGAGCCCGTACGGGCACAACCCCCAATCCGTATCCGCATCGATCAGGATTCTTGAAACCCGAGGCCAAATGCAAAGCCCAAACGCCTCAACCCTGAAGTGATCCTGACCGAGTTGAGGGTTTGGGGTTTAGGGTGTGGGGTTTAGGGTTTAGGGTTTCGGGTTTAGAGTTCAGGGTTGTGGGTTTAGAGTTTAGGGGTTTAGGGTTTGGGGTTTGGGGTTTAGGGACAGGCCTCCGCAAAGATGCCTTGCAGCCGCGCATCGTCAGGTGGTGACGGTTTCCTGGGCCCCAGAATGCTCGTATGGATCCAGCGAGTGAGCACGTCTTCATATTCCCCAAGTAGGGTTTAGGGTTTCGGGTTTAGGGTTTAGGGTTTATAGGATGTATAGGGTTTAGGGTTTCGGTTTCGGGTGCGCAAAGAAGCCCCTGAACGGGCCTGAATCAGGGAATAGAAAGGCTTCTTACCCTTCCAGCCCCCTGGATTCGTCTCAAAAATGCCGGACTCACAACACTCGCCACCCACAGGTGTGAGGATTCCACTTGGGACGATGACTTCCGCGACATACTTCACGAAGGCCACCAGGTGTCTTCAGTTCAGGTGGATGGAAATCTACATTACGATGCTTCCCCCTTATACTAACAGTCCTTCATGGGGATTCTAGTACCCCCCTATCAAAGTCCCTCTTCAGCGGGCGAGCATCCCGAAGTTTATACCACAAAACACAAACATGTTGCATGTTACGTTCAACTCCCAGTCCTGACCATACTCCCCTTCACCCTCATTCTACCGATGTCCCCCTGGACTTATGTTCATCTGAATATAAAAAAAGCTGAGACCTCTGAAGCCCCAAGGAGCCAACAAGAACCCCTAAACCCTCAACCCTAAACCCTAAACCCTCAACCCTAAACCCTCAACCCTAAACCTCCCCCCCTCCCTCCCCTTCCCACACATGAAGCGCTGGGCGCCCCCGGCGGAGGCGCGCCTAGCATCTCAAGCCCGCCAGCGGCCATGGCCCGGGGGCTCAAGCGCTTACAGGAGTTTAGGGCTTAGGGGTTTAGGGCTTATAGGGTTTGGGGTTTAGGGTTTAGGGCTTGGGGTTTAGGGCTTAGGGATTTGGGTTTAGGGATTTAGGGTTTACAGTTTAGTTTCGGGGCGGGGCGTGGGGTTGAGGGGTGTGGGGGGTTTGGGGGGCTCAGGGGCGCTTAGGGCTTTCTTCTTGCTCCGGGTTTGGGGGTTGAGGGTTGGGGGGGTGTAAGGTGGGCCCAGGGAGCTGTGCAGATTTTTCGAAGCCCTAAACCTTAAACCCTAAACCCTAAACCCCAAACCCTGAACCCATGAAGTTGGTAGGGCCGGGCGGCTGGACACCTGCAAGCCCAGCTGCTCAGGAACCGTGAAGGCGTGTTTTCTAGTTCATGGTTGGGATAGTATGCAAAACTTAACATTCTATTCCTTATTGAGTTTCAGTACCCTTAAAAATCAAAAATGTTAGCCCACTATGACAAAGTTTTAGGGATGCTGGGGGTTTAGGTTGGGTAGACGCCTTCTCTTTGGTATCCGACAAAAGCATGCTTCCGCCTCCACATAGCAGTCTGTAGATTCCAAGACTTAGACTCATAAACAGAAACATAGGCATTGTCTAAAGGGATCCAATGGTTGGTTATGCAAGAGTACACAAGCATGAAGTAATCAGAAGAAATTAACCGAGCACTTGTACGAATTCAGAAGACCCTGCGTCGACTTTCACGCTGCACTTCCTTTATTTTTCCCCGGGCGGAAGGGGGGGGTGCTTCGGCCTCCAGACGCGGGGGGCTTCGGGTTTAGGGGCCTGGCTGGGGAGAAGTCCCCAACAGTGGCGCAACGCCATGGAGTTTCCCCCACATTGCATAAGAGGAATGAATGCAGAGGGCCGGGTCGGGATGCTCATGGGTGTGGTCTCGAAGTCCTCTTGGGGGAGGGCTTGTTCTGATCAGAATAGTCCCCATTGTTACAAGGAGCAGTAGTCACTAGCATAGCAACAGCCGTACCAAGAGCAGCAGCAGCAGCAGCAGCAGCAGCAGCAGCAGCAGCAGCAGCAGCAGCAGCAGCAGCAGCAGTAGCAGTAGCAGTAGCAGTAGCAGTAGCAGTAGTAGTAGTAGTAGTAGTAGTAGTAGTAGTAGTAGTAGTAGTAGTAGTAGTAGTAGTAGTAGTAGTAGTAGTAGTAGTGGTAGTAGTAGTAGTAGTAGCAGCAGCAGCAGCAGTAGTAGTAGTAGTAGTAGTAGTAGTAGTAGTGCCAACCTGGGGCTAGAAGGGTTCAGGGTTTCGTGTTCGGGGTGATGCCAGGCCAGGCTTGAGCAAAGCAAAGGCCGCGACAAGGGCAGCTGTTCGGGCAACCGTTAACACTTCCCTGAAGCCGCTGTCAGCCCGAACACTAGAGACTCTAGATTCGCAATACAACCCGAAGCTACTCATTAGACACAGCTTTGCCATCTTGCGATCTTGGGCACCGATCGCCACATGTGCCAAAAACTGCCAACAGCCGACAGCTCCTAAACCCTGACCCTAAACCTTGGACCAAATGAGGGATGCCGAGACAAACAAGACTGCGGCGTTGAGAAGTTTTAGGGTTTGCAGACCCTAAAACTTCCAAACCCCTACTATATGGGGCCTGAATACTTAGAAAAGGGTTTGGGGAGCGATTACAGTAGAATTATATAGGGAACATAGGGGAATGTTGTTAGTAATTCTTCCGTCGCCACGACAAAGCATGCCGCGTTCGCGTCCTGTAGTTCTCAGCGCTGGTGTGATCATGTCGATTCAATGTGAGCTACGTAGCATAGCATCGCATAGGTGCGTAAAGCATGACTCGAGGCCCTAAGCTGAAAACAACCCTAAACCCAAAACCCTAAACCCCAAACCCTAAACCCTAAACCCTTTCAAATGAGAATTCGGAACCCCCCCGCGTCGACGTTTTGACCCCGCTTTGGCAAAGGGCGGCGGAGTCGGCCGCGGGCGCTGGTCGTAGGGATACTCGGGGGCGGAGAGTGGACCTGCCACAGTTTTTAGGGTATAGGGTTTGGGGTTTAGGGTCTAGGGTTTAGGGTTTAGGGTTTAGGGTTTCGGGTTTCGGGTTTCGGGTTTCGGGTTTCGGGTTTAGGATTTAGGTTTAGGGTTTAGGGTTTAGGGTTTAGGGTTTAGGGTTTAGGGTTTAGGGTTTAGGGTTTAGGGTTTTTAGGGTTTAGGGTTTAGGGTTTAGGGTTTAGGGTTTAGGGTTTAGGGTTTAGGGTTTAGGGTTTAGGGTTTAGGGTTTAGGGTTTAGGGTTTAGGGTTTAGGGTTTAGGGTTTAGGGTTTAGGGTTGAGGAGGGGAGGGGGAAGCGTAGGGCCCTCAAGCCTGCTAAACCCTAAACCTTCAACCCCACGCCCTAGGGACGCTTGAGCCCTAAGACCCTGAACCCTCAACCGCGCTTTTATAGGGCTGTGGGTCTGCTTGACAGTGATCCGACCTCCAGCCCTCAAGCTCCTCCTCCTTCCTTCGGATGTGTTGGGAGCCCAAAGGCCCTATGTTGCGTTCTTGTAGGTGAGTACCAGGAAGCTGCAACTTAGCATTCTTACAAGAAACCTTGTCATAGCTGTGTTAAGTAATGCAAACCTTATGAAATTTCATGCACCGGCCAAAGGCAACCTGCCAAAATGGAAGGTCTTGAACTCTTAAGGTGGGGATTTCGTAAGTTCAGGGCGGTGCCGGGAGTGAGCAAAGCAAAGTCTCCGTCGAAACGTGCCGAGGCACAGTTGTCATAGTCGAAGTCGTCGTCGAGCACGAACTTCTCAACACGGTCCTGAACGAAGACAGCTGCTCCGAATTGCAGGAGCCTTCACTGGGATAACCTGGGCGGAAGCCGCCCGAAGACTCCGAAGACGTCCGTCAACAACCGGCATTCTCTAAGCCAAGCGTCCACCACATCTGCACTCGCAGCGGCGCGCTCCTCGGCCGAACGTGCACAGATCTGCGAGGCGGGTGGCGAGCCCACAGAAAAATCCCGAATCCCTAAAGACCCTACCAGCACAATCCACAACTTGCAAAGACTCGGCCAGCAACAACTAAGTGCAGGAAGGCTCGGCATCTTCTTTCGCCATGGCCAGAACCTCTGCAAAGAATCCGGGATCCCTTAGCATGGTCTTCGGGCCACGGCAGAACAGGGGATTCGGCTAATGCTCTGCCATAATTGATATAGGGCTCTTATACGGGAAGCGGGTTCATGGGGTGAATGTAACTCAAGGTTCCCTAATACTCCCCACTACTCCCTAAGGCTCCCTAAGCTTCCCCAAGGGGTCCCTGGGTAATGTTGACTTCGCATTAATAAACCCCCCCCCCCTTGATTGATCAATCTCTCTGGCCAGGGCCTCCTTAATTATATTCGCCTAAATCCTGGTAGGAAGTACTATTAGTTTTAGTATTAGGTAGTAGTACCAGTACTAGTACTAGTAGTACTAGTACTGCAGAGCGATTCTACATGAGGCAACTCTGCTTCGATCTAGCTGTCACGGTGCCACCACAGTGGGCTAAGTGAGCCTCTACCGCGAGCCTCTGCCACTGCAAAAGAGAGTGTCTGCAGCCAGCAAGCTCTAAACTCATTCTCTTCAAACACCCTGAAACTTATAAGTTTAAGCTAATTACAAAACATCGCCTGTACAAAAGAAATATTCCGGGCTTGATTTAATAATTGTGGGGGGCTATATTATTGTGTTCCGGCAGCTGGATTTTATAATTGTAGCGGGAATTCCTAATGTGAAGTCAACATTACCCCAAACCCCAAACCCCAAACCCCAAACCCCAAACCCCAAACCCCAAACCCCAAACCCCAAACCCTCAACTCAAGCCTCCCTTAAGGACCCCATACTTGCCGTACGTTCACGAGGCCAGCGTTCAAGGGCATCCTTGTGCCCAAAGTGAGTACTTGCCGCGAATGTTGGGCCGTCTGGGTAGGAGCACCCTTACCCTCAACCTTGTAAGCCCCGTAAACCCTGTAAACGCTTTAAAAATCCTTTAACCCCTGTACACTCTGTAAACCCTGTAAACACTCTTAAACCCTGAAAACCCTTTAAACCCTGAAATTAAACCCTGTAAAGCCTTCAGACCCTTTAAACCCTCTAAGCCCCTGCCATCGGCCGCAACGCCTGGAACCTCTCGGAGAACCATATGTGGACCCCGCCCACCCTAGCTTCGAAAGTCTCACCTGCTCCCAGTGCTGCACCATGGTTTCGAGATCCCGATAGGGGACCCTGGAATCCCTGAGCCTAAAGCACCGACAAGCCCTACAAACCCCCTACCCTAATCCCCTAAACCCCTAGACCCCTAAGCCCAAACTCTAACCCCCGAAACTCCTACCTTAAACCCCTAGACCCTAAACCCCTACCCTTAAATCCTAAACCCCCCAAAGCCCTAAACCCCTGAACCCCCAAAACCCCTAAACCCAAACTCGAAACATGTCCGACCTCGGGATCCTCCTCGTCGGAATCCTCCAAGGGCTGTTGGGGGCTAGTCAGACATGGAGGGTGTAGGGTTCGGGGGTTTAGGGTTTAGGGTTTAGGGTTTAGGGTTTAGGGTTTAGGGTTTAGGGTTTAGGGTTTAGGGTTTAGGGTTTAGGGTTTAGCGTTTAGGGTTTAGGGTTTAGGGTTTAGGGTTTAGGGTTTAGGGTTTAGGGTTTAGGGTTTGCTGTGATAGGGCGTAGATGCTGTGAAGGTTAGGTTTTGGAACAAGCTCGAAAGCTTCGTGAGGCCCGAAGAGCAGCTTTGGCCCGATAGTGGAAGGCCATCTAACATTTTTCTCGCACCCCACGCCGTCCGAGGCGGCAAAGCCACCCAAACCTCTTCCTTTTAGGGTTTAGGCCTAAACTCAAGCCAACTGCTTACTTTCCATAAGACTTCTTCATTCCGTCACGGCGGTGGCGCCAATAAGGACCCCAAGAGGGACCATATTGTTAGAGAAGTGACCATACAGGCAGGGTTCAGGGCCTTCCGCCAAGCGTGTGAGATAGGCTCTGCACGTGGGTCCTGTGGAACTTTCGGGCTTTCATCTCTGGGAGTCGGGATTTAGGGCTTAGGGCCGAGGGTTGAGCGTACAGTGCGGAAGCATCCAAGGCCCACTCTCCCCAAAAAAGCCTGTAGCCCCGAACCGGGCAGTCTTTCGTGGGGTAGGGCCGTGGGCGGCCTGTGTTTTTTTGGGAGAGCTGTCGGGGCGGAGTGGGGGTAGGAGTTGAGGGTGCCACCCCGAAAGGCTTCCGATGAAACCCTATCACCTCTTAATGCCTTAAGCCCCAAACCCCGCACCCAAACGGGTGTCAGGGGGTTTAGGGTTTAGGGTTTCGGGTTTAGGGTTTAGGGCGCTGGGGTTTAGGCAGGGTTTAGGGTTTAAGGCCTGTGTAGGGCGTAGGGGCTTACCTCGCGCTTCGGATTGTCCTGCTTGGGCTGTGGCCCCTGGCCCTTGGTAGCGGGACCTTCGGGAATTCCCGCCGAGATTCTTAAGCTCTCTTGGTTGACGGCCTTATGGGTTGTTTAGGGTCCTAAACCCCGAAACCCTTAGAACCATACAACCCCCAAGTTCTCCTTCCAAAAACAAAACGCCCCAAATCCCATAAACTAGAGGATTTCTAGGGTCCATTGGGCTTACTATGGCTCATTTCACCCAAGTCCTGGTACAGGACAACAGGGTGGGCTCCAGGCTCATAGAATTTCCAGGGTTTTTACATAGGGCGCATACGGGTTCATAGGGTTGGTTCATAAGGGTTCGTAGGGTTGGTAGGGTTCATGGAGTTTCTAGGGCTTGGGGCCTTAGGACTGGCGTCTCCCGAGCCATCAGCTGCAATGAGATCACAGGGGGGCCGGGGTTGGAACAGGGTTAGTCGGGCAGTTGCTTTGGGCCCTCAGCCCCTGACCCCCCAAACTGTTCCCCCCAAAAAAGCCCCTATCAACCCAAAGAACCCTAAATGCCCTAAACGCCCCTAAACGGCTTAAACCCTAGACCCTAAACCCTGTAACCCTATAACCCCAAGCCCCTAAAGCCACACACTCCGACCATGCTAAGGGCCCGTGCTTCCAACCTTAGACTCTTGAAAATCGCTAAGGAAGCTTGTTTTTTGGGCTTTTGGGGTTTGGGGTTTATATAGGCTTTTGTTGGGGCTCAGGGTTTCGGCGTTCGGGCTTGGGGGTTCGGTTTGGGGTTTTGGGTGGCAGCCCCATCTTTGAGGCGTTCGTGGAACCCTGCCCTAAACCTGGCAAACTTAAACCCTAGTAATTAACCCTAACAAACCCTCAATACCCGAAAAACCCTCAAAACTCAGAAAACCCTACAAACCCAAAGAACAACCATCCGGCTTCCCGAGACGGCGGCCTTCTTTTGCTGAAGCCTGAGCCAAGGCGATGGGGGAGCCCCGAGCATAGAGGGTTTAGGGTTTTATGGTTTAGGGTCCAGGGTTTAGGGTTTTGGTTTAGGGTTTAGGGTTCAGGGTTTAGGGTTTTATGGTTTAGGGTCCAGGGTTTAGGGTTTTGGTTTAGGGTTTAGGGTTTAGGGTTTAGGGTTTAGGGTTTAGGGTTTAGGGTTTAGGGTTTAGGGTTCAGGGTTCAGGGTTCAGGGTTTAGGGTTTAGGGTTTAGGGTTTAGGTTTGGGGTTTAGGGTTTAGGGTTTGGGGTTTAGGGTTTAGGGTTTAGGGTTTAGGGTTTAGGGTTTAGGGTTTAGGGTTGAGGTCTCTCTGCTGTGAGCCTGGCCTCTTAGGAGCGTTAGGGACTTTGCGGTTTTACGGCTTTAAGGGGGGGGGGGGGGGGGGGGGGGGGGGGGGGGAGGGGTTTCAAGGTTTGGTGTCTGCAGGACTTCCTCCAATTCGGGCTCACAAGGTTTAGGGTTTAGGTGTTTGGGGGGGGGCTCTGTTCTCGACCTCTTCGGGTAGGTCCATGGCCCCTTGATACGGGCCCTTAAACGGCGACCCCTTCTCTACCCTATGCAACCCAAGGGCCCATACATCGGAACCCTTCCAAGGAGGTAAGGGACCATATTACGGGCTCATATAACTACCCTTAGACGAACACCGACTCTGAGAGCCTATGAGCCACGGCCTCCCAGAGCTCCGACATGGAATCCCGAAGGTCGCACCCCCAGAGCACAACCCGAAAGCATAACCTCAACGCCTGAAGTCCTAAACCCCAAACCAGAACTCGGGTGTACGTAAACCCTAAACCCGAAACGGGAATCACTGCCCGCCTTGGCGGAGGCTTTCGATGACGCCGGCGCCGGCACCTTGGCAGCGCAGCTTACTCCAGGCCTATAGGGTTGAGGGTTTAGGGTTCAGGGTTGGGTTCAGGGTGTAGGCTTCAGGGTTTAGGGCTTAGGGTTTTCACGAGTTTAGGGTTAGGGTTTAGGCCAGGGCTTTGGGCTTACAAGATCTGGGTTGGAAGCTTAGGGCACTTCCCGAAATCTGAGGGCGGCGCAAAACCTAGACATTTTAATCAACAGGCATTTGCAACGTGTGTGCCCATTAAATCCCAAACCCTGAACCCTAAACCATGTGTGCTAACAGTCAGGGAGAAGTTCACATAACGGGCTCCATCAGTCAACGCGTTCACCTCCTTCCTCCAAAAAAGCAGACTAAGCCCTGAACCCCAAACCATGCCTTTCATAAGTCCTCAGTTAACAGTGCACCCTAGAACCCCAAACCAAGAAAGAGCAAAAACCTTAAAATCCAAGAAGTCTAAACCCCGAACACCTGGAAACCTCTAACTTCCAAAAGCCCTGAACCCGAAAATCCTGAAACCCCACTGCAAATACCCATCCTTAAACCCCATATCCTCTAACTCCTACCAAAAACCTATACAAAAACCCTAGAAACCCCTCAAACCCCTGTTTTGAAGATCATCCCTTGGCCCTAACCCTACAAAAACCCTACAAGCACCCTGGAAACCCCTCAAACCCCCTTTTTTTTCAAGATCACCCTTTGGCCCTGCAATGCAACCGATGCCCAGACCTCTGCGTCCTTGCGCGTGGCATCGGAGTCGGCCATGGTGGGCGTCGGAGGCCCCGAGTGTGTACAGTTTAGGGTTTAAGGTTTAGGGTTTAGGGTTTAGGGTTCGGGGTTCAGGGTTCAGGCTTCAGGGTTCAGGGTTCAGGGTTTCGGGTTTAGGGTTTAGGGTTTAGGGTTTAGGGTTTAGGGTTTAGGGTTTAGGGCGCGCTGCAGTTAGCCCGACGCCGCTCCCTTGACGGGGTAGGCTGCGGAACCTAAACCCTAAACCCTAGATGGCCCTAGATCCTGAACCCCAAACCCTTGGCCCGAAACCCTGAACCCTAAACCCTAAACCCTAAACCCTAAACCCTAAACCCTAAACCCTAAACCCTAAACCCTAAACCCTAAACCCTAAACCCTAAACCCTAAACCCTAAACCCTAAACCCTACCAAAAAAAACCCAAAGGACATAAGATTCCCTGACTGTGTAGAATCTTCGGCCCCAAGTCTCATGCAACCCTGGAAGAAACTCCCCCCAAGGTGGGTAGTAGGGCTCCTTGCAATCGGCCAACCCTCCCCCCAACCCTAAACCCTAAACCTAAATGCTAAACTTGGGATGCTCCTTCTTATACCAACAGTCCTTAATGGGGATTGTCCCGAATGGGGACGATACTAGGGGCTACTATAATATCCCTATTAAGGACTGTTCGTATCAGGGGGAACATCACCCTAAACCTAAGCCCTAAACCCTAAACCCTCAGCCCTACACCTGAAACCCAGCAGGAAGGAATGCACCTTGTTCTGCCTCTTGGCACCTGCGCAGTGCCCCCGACCGAAAGGGGCGAGGTTGAGGCTTCAGGAGACTTCGCTTCAGGGGGTTTAGGGTTTAGGGTTAAGGGTTTAGGGTTTAGGGTTTAGGGCCTAGGGTTTGGGGTTTCGGGTTTAGGGGTTCATGTAGGGTTCATGAAGGGCGCATGCAGGGTTTGGGTTTCAGGCTTCGGAGAGCGCCAAGAATGCGGCTTGGCCCTTCTAGACCCCAAGGCTTTAGGGTCTAAGGCACCCTAACCCTAAACCCTAAACTCTAAACCCTGAATTATGAGTTGAGGCTTCGCAAAATTGAACCTAAGCGACAACCATAAGGAAAGCATAACATGTACTATCTAGTCGATTTTTTTGTATCCCTAAACCCTAAACCCTCACGCCAGCGTTGAGCCTCAGGAGCTACCCGGCATCCCTGGACCCAAGCGCCTTCACGGCACTTCCCCCACAGCCCCTCACCCGCAAACTCCAACAGAAAGAGAGCGGGAGAGAGAGAGAGAAAGAAAATAAGAAAAACAAGAAAGAAGGAAAGAAAGAAAGAAAGAGAAAGAGAAAGAAGGAGAAAGAAAGAAAGAAAGAGAAAGAAGGATAAAGAAAAAGAAAGAAAGAGAAAGAAAGAGAAAGAGAGAAAGAGAGAGAAAGAGAGAGAAAGAGAGAAAGATACATGTGTATATATATAATATGTATCAATGGATTTATATGTGTATAGATACATATACATATGTATATTCCCCCTACCCTCACTTTCCCTAAGCCTTAAACCCTAAACCGATGTTTCCCTGCCGATGGCCTTTAATCTGGTCTTCCAAGAAGCGGCGGTCCTGACGGCAGTCACCCAAGCAATTGAGTGTGTGTGTGTGTGTGCTCTGGGGTAGGAAAGGGCTCTCTAAGTGCGCGCCCATACTCGGAGCCCTTGTAACCGAGCACAAAACTCCGAGTGCATGGCTTGCGGGTCTAGGGCTCACGCGGCTGCATGGGCTTCCGGGTTTCTGGGCCGTGTAGGGTTTCTAGGCTTTATGGTACGTAGGTCTTGCACACTCATTCCTCTCATTCCGGGGTCAGAGATGGGTTGGGAAGAAAGCGCGAGGCGGCCCACGCACTTGCCACGGGCCCCCGTGGAAAACCGACCGTTTGGGTTGCGCCTCCCACGTCTCTACACCCTCGGCTCCTCATCGCTAAACCCTGAACACCCCAACATTTTTCCCTTTAATGTGCGAATAATAGCAATAAATTCAACAAATGTGGCAGAAACATACTAATGATAAATCAGGGTAATAATGCAAAATTTACACCATAGTCAAAATTGCAGGCCTTTTTCGGTCCCTCTGACCTTTGCCAGAACCACGACACAAATTCCTAAGGAGGCCCCATTCCAAAGCTCCGCCGCTGTGCGGCCAACCCGCCCTCTTTCTGCAAGACATCCCAGAGAGCCCAATAGTACCTCTTAATTAAGGACTATACCCTTCAGTGATACTAAGGGTCCCTTCATAAACTAAGGATCCCTTTATGAATTAAGGAGCCCTTTATGAATTGAGGATCCCTTTATAGATTAAGGTTATGTTCCGACAGAAAGGCTGCAGGGCGCCTCATCCAGTGCTTCTGCTTTGGCCTTCCACTTGTCCACCTGACTGTGAATTGAGAACCCTAAACTTACCCTGCAACCCCAAACATCCCCAAGACCCTAAGGCCCTAAACAGCATTAGGGCGGGCGGGTCTTGGGGCTCTAGGGTTGAGCTTAGATGGTTTAGCGGCTGTACAAGGGTCTCGAGAGTGTGAGGGCTTTGGGCCGGGGATCAGTTTCGCGCATGCGAGTTCACGGCACTGGAAACCCCAAACCCTTAACCCTAAACCCTAAGCCCTAGACCCTAAACCCTAAACCCGCAGCTGAGTCGGTCAACCCCTGGACGGCCATCGATGCGCAAGTACTCTAGGGTTGAGGGTTTAGGTCTTTAGGGCTTAGGTCTTCAGGGTTGAGGGTTTAGGGTTTAGGGCTTTAGCGTTTGACTCTAAAGCCCAAAACGAACCCCCATGAATGTGGTAGGGGGAGCAGAATCTTGCTGTCACGCGCACTTCAGAGACCCCTAGGTCTTGAAGCAACCCTGGGAAGCAACATGCACTTTTTGGGTGGCTCCGTGTACGAGATTAGGAACCAAGAAAACCGATAAACGTGCCCTGCCCAGCCCAGCCCATGTTGAGGGCTGCAGCTGTCTCCAACCCATCTGCAACCCTAAACCTGAAACCCTAAACCCTAAGCCCTAAACCCTAAACCCTAAACCAGAGCTGACCAGAAACATGTGGAGCAGCGACGTGAGAGGCACGTCGGCAGGTTTGGATCCGCTTGCAGAGAATCAGACACAGGCCGCCACAGAGACAAAGCGCAGCAAGACAGAACTCCCAACTCTGGTGCGCCGTGAGAAGGCTGTCAAGGCAAACCCCTCCCAACAACAAACGCTTCAAAACGTGTAAGAGACCCTACAAACCCTCTTGAACTCTACCAACCCTTACTACACCATCAAACCCTAAACCCCTAAGCCCCAAGTCCCAGCCAACAAAACACTCGGCCTCCTTCTTGTAGCCCTTGCAGAGGTCGTCGAGGCGCAGGGCCTTTGCATGGCAGGATTTAGGGTTTAGGGTTTAGGGTTTAGGGTTTAGGGTTTCGGGTTTAGGGTTTAGGGTTGGGGTTTAGGGTTTAGGGTTTAGGGTTCGGGGTGTGGGGTTGAACGTTTCGAGTTTAGGGTTCATTAGTGCTTATGTTAGACGCCCAAAACCTCCTTTGCCGTTGTTCTTACTATAAACCCCCCTTTTAGGATTCTTGGGTGATAAGAGCCCAAAACCTACCTTTTGTTGTACGTTCGTTCTGAAACTCCTTTTAGGGACTCTTAGGTAACCTACAAACAAAGTTTATGGGCTCTTGCGCAGGCTGAGGGCATTTGGAAAAGGTGCTGATGCGAATGCAAGGTCATATTGCTGGCTCTTGGCCGGGAAAATAGGGAATTAGGTACTGTTATTATGCATGTATATATATATATATTCTCATTGATTATTATTATTATCATTAGTATTATTATATACATATATATAATGTACATGTATCATCCCCTAGTGCGTGATATAGGGGGATGTAATGTACTCATGCCCATTGCGAACTTGCAAGTTGCGCGGGTCTCGGGTTTGGGGGCGTGCGGGGCCAGAGGCTTGAGCAATACGAGCTTTGCGGTATAGGTCTTTCTTATACTAACGGCTCCTTAATAGGGATTATTATAGAGGGGTTGCTATAAATCCCATTGAGGAGTGTAAGTATAAGATCACAAGGTATGGGGTTTAAGGGTGAGGGGCGGGAGATCGTGGTCGAAGAAAAGATTGCTTAGGTCACGTCGGCTCTACTGCCAGCTATATCTTGGGAAGTTCCCGAAACCCTAAACCCTAAACCCTAAACCCGGCAACCCTGAGCCCGAATCGGATGTCTCTGTTTTCGCACGCTGGCCACATCTCTCCCTCGCGAGACGCTCCCCTGCCCAAGAAGCGAAGGGGGTGTCGTTGGTGAGGTGCGGCAACGCACTTGCCGGGAACAACTGTGAGGTGCTGCCCTTCCTGCGCATTCGGGTGTTCGTGGGCTAACATGTAGGGTTGAGGATTGAAAGGTTGATAGGGTTTAGGTGAATGTGTAGAAATATAAACCGAACGAATCTATGTATGTATAGATATATATATACACACATGCATGCTTTGGGGTCTAGGCCATACATCATATAAGCACACATGCGCTTCACTTTACTTTAAAGGAGCTGCTAACCCCGCAGTCGCCCTTTGCAGGAAGCATGCGGAAACGCACAGGCAAGGCAAAGCTGGCTGCTCCTTTCATCTCCTGACAAGCGCCGCCCAGGTTTCCACGTACCTTGGCGCGCAGGACGCGGAGGAGGAGAGACGGAGGAGAGAGGAAGCAGAAGCAAAACCTGGGTTGCAACTCCACAGCTTATACTTCGCTTGCAAAGTTCTAGCTGCCTAACAGCACCCCCCCCCAAACCCTCACCCTAAACCAGCTAGCTGAGAGGGCCTCGCAGAGAAAAGGCGAGGGGCCTCTCAGACGATGAGCTCCGCAACTCCCTGGCCGGAGGGCAGGGACTGGACGACCTGGCTGCGGTGCGGGGATGAAGGTGTTGGGGGTTGAGGGTTGAGGGTTTAGGGTTTAGGGTTTAGGGTTTAGGGTTTAGGGTTTAGGGTTTAGGGTTTAGGGTTTAGGGTTTAGGGTTTATGGGTTTAGGGTTTAGGGTTTAGGGTTTAGGGTTTAGGGTTTAGGGTTTAGGGTTTAGGGTTTAGGGTTTAGGGTTTAGGGTTTAGGGTTTAGGGTTTAGGGTTTAGGGTTTAGGGCCCTCATTTGGGGTCGAGGGTTGAGGATTGAGGGTTGCAGTGCTTCTTCGTCGATTGGAGAATTTGGTGGTGTGAGGAAGGCTTGGCACTGGAGTAAATTTGAGGGTTTGAGGGTTTCAGGGTCCCCCCCACCCCCCCACCCCCGCCCCTCAACAAAAAACCCAAAACTCCAAACCCTAAAGCCGACCCTCAACTCTAAACCCTAAACCCTAAACCCAAACCCCCACCCCCAACAAAGAACAAGCTCGCGCCTTCGCAAGGCGCTGGTAGTCGGGCGTCCCTGCCCCTGTCACTGCATCCCAACCTCACGGAGCTGCGATTTGGAGAAAATCGAGGGGCCTAAACCCTAAACCCTAAACCTTTAACGCCGGTTCTACAGGAGTTGAGGGTCCAGAAGGGCTTTAGGATCGAGGGCTTTAGGGTTCAGTCGAGAGTTTGGTGGCTGTAGAGGGCTTAGGGGCTTGAGGCTTAGAGAGAAGGTCTAGGGCACCTCGTGCTGAAGGTTTAGGGACCTAAGCCGCTTTGATGACTGTACTTCTGGCGTGGCCTCTTCGTGCCAACGAGCAGGCATATCTTGTCTTGCAAGGACCTAGCAAGTCACACTAAACCCTGAACCCTAAACCCGGAACCCTGAAGCCTAAATCCTAAACCCCAAACCCTGAACCCGAAACCTTGAACCCTGAACTAAACCCTAAACCCTGAACCCTGAACCCTCCTTGGGGTCCAAACAAACCTTAAAATTGGGGTCATCTACCCTATACTACTGCAATTCTTATTAAGGTATATGGACCACAAACCCTTTAGGTTTCATGTCGTCCCCAAGGCTAGACCCTCTCCACCCTAAACCCTAAACCCTAAACCCTAAACCCTAAACCCCAAACCCTCGTCTCAGGCAAAGGGCCCGCTTTGGCCGGCCAGCCCTCCCCGCAGTCCGAGAAACTGCTGCCTCCAGGCGACGCTCGCCAACGTGAGGGTTTAGGGTTTAGGGTTTAGGGTTTAGGGTTTGGGGTTGCTTCTAGGGGCTTCGGGTCCAAGGGGGCCGCCGACTGTTTACGGGCGCCCTGAACGATAACGTGCCTATCCACGGCAGTTGGAAGGTGGCAGTCATAAGAAACCCCCCCTGGATCCCCTGAGGACGAGAGAATATGAACTGCAGAGATCCTACAAGGCTGCTATCGTGAAGCCTGTGTCCATTCCTATTCCCTCCCCTCCCCCGCCCCCCCCCCCCCTCTTAAAAGAGGGTGCCACAGATGGATCCAGATTCGGTCGCTCCAAGTCCCCCCAGATTTGCGGCCTTCGGTGATGTCGTTGAAGGCGGCGAGGTTGCTGTAGATCCTTGGCGCTCCCGATGTTGGGACGCAGAACTGCCTTAAGGCTTAAGGTTTTTGGGGAGCTACACTCATTCTTGGGGGTGTTGGGCTATGGTTCCTCTACTCGCCATCGTACTTCTGCTGCCTGAGGGCATTGAAGAGGGGTGCTGTGGATGAACTTTAAGCGTTTGGGGCTTGGAGGGTCAGGAGACCTCCTACTACAGTGACTACAGGAAGAGCCCCGCAACAGCAGAGAGGCCTGTTTAGGGGCCTTTTCGGGCACGTTAGGGGTTCAGGGTTCAGGGTTCAGGGTTTAGGGTTTTTAGGGCTTTTAGGGTTTTTTCGGGTTTTTTGGGTTTTTGGGGTTTTTAGGGTTTAGGGAATTTTAGGGCATTGGGGTTTTTCGGGGCGCAGGGGCATTTAAGGGTTTCAGGCTGCCATCAGACCGGGCCGCAGAGGGTTCAGGAAGCCCAACGTGGAGGCGTTCTTCTGGAGGCGGAGGTCGTTGAGCAGGGCAATCTGGGCAGGAAGTCTTTTAGGGTTTAGGGTTTAGGGTTTTAGGGTTTGGGGTTTAGAGTTTAGGGTTTAGGGTTTAGGGTTTAGGGTTTAGGGTTTAGGGTTTAGGGTTTAGGGTTTAGATCTGCTCTGGGCAGCTTCTCGAAGGGACTCAGGCTCCGGCTTATACCCTCGACCTCCAACTGTGGTTCCCTTTTCCGTGAAATCCTGAACCCTTCATTTCCCATAAACCCTGATAGCCCTTAAAACCCTACCTCACTTTCCTACACTCCCCTTAGAACCTTAAATAACAACAATATCTTTAACATCCTCTTGGTTTTTATATAAACAAAAATATTTATTTAAAAAAAAAAAACTAAGAATTCCCAAGGGGAATGTAGTTTCTTTGCTTCTTGTACTGACCGGCTCAGGGCTTCCAGGGCCCCTGGGTCAAAGTCCCTCAGAAACCTTCATGCCCTGCACCCACCCCCCCCCCTACGCCCACGCCCACGCCCACTCGCGCCCGCGCACACCCGCGCACGCGCACATGCCCTATAGCCCTATAGCCCTCAACCCTCAACCTTGAACCCTAAACCCTAAACCCTAAACACCAAGACACTGCACTGAGGGGCCGACCACCCCGGCAGCCGTGGGTGAGGCGCAGCTAGTTCCGGACCTGAATAGGTTTAGGGTTTAGGGTTTAGGGTTTAGGGTTTGGGGTTTAGGGTTTAGGGTTTAGGGATTTAGGGTTTAGGGTTTTTGGGTGCATAGGGTTCATAAGGTTCAGGGCTTAAAATTTTGGGGTAGCTACACGGTCCCTTAGTATGGGCCTTTAACCCTTGCATACCCTATAAAATGCAAGGGCCCATACTTCAGAACCCTGCAAAGAAGGCAAGGGACCATATGAAGTGACCACATAACTACCCTCAGAGAACCCCAAACCTCGAGAATACCCCAAAACCCCTAAAACACTAGGAGTCCACGGCATTTAAGGTTTGTTTTACGTTAAAAACCTTAAACCCAAACCCCAAACCCCTAAAAATCTAAAAGTCCACAGCCGGGGCCAGCGCACACCCGGCATAGGCAGGCCGGCGATCACGACGAACCTCGTGGCCTCTGCAACCGCAGGGCTTTCGCAAAGCCGCGAAGATACGGGGTTCTGGGTTTAGGGCTTAGTGGTTTCAGGTTTTTAAGGCTTTTGGGTTTTGAGGCTTTGGGGCGTTTAGGGCTTTTGATTTAGGGTTTAGGGCTTCTGGTGTAAGACCAAAATCATCATCATTGAAGCCATCTCTTCCCAAGGGCAGTACAGGGCAGTACCTCATATGCTTCTTATGTTGTCTTACGAGCTTCTTGTGATCATTCTCCTCTTTTTCTGATTCCGGCAATCCGAAACCCCAAACAGCCCTACTAGGACCCCAAAACGCTGAAACCCTAAAAAGCCCTGGAAACCAAGAAGGTCTGAGAATTCGCTAACTTCGATCGTAGTTTGCCCTTCGATCATCCCCACCCTCCTGCTACTTTTTATGTGGGAGCCTCTGGGGGAGTGGGCACTCCAGGGGTACGGAGAGCGTAACATCCCCGCATGGGGAAAGACAGAAAAAAAAACCGAAGGCCCTCAACATGCTAAACCATAATCAACCAAAACCCTAATACCCTAAATTCCCCTAAATTCCCCTAAATTCCCCTAAAACCCTGAATTCCCTAAAAGCCCTTAACAACCCCAAAACCCTAGAACCCTAGAACCCTGAAAACCCTAAAATGGCCCGAAAAAGCCGCAGTCCAGTCCCTCCGTAGAAGGCCTGGGCCGAGATGTCGGGATAGGCACGGCCGGTGACCTGATTCTCGAGGGCTTCTCGGGTTTTATGGTTTAGGGTTTAGGGTTTAGGGGTTTAAGGGTTTAGGGTTTAGGGTTTTGGGGTTTAAGGGTTTAGGGTTTAGGGTGTAGGGTTTAGGGTGCCATCGTCATCGTTTTCGTCGTCGCTATACCAGGTTCACCATCATCTCAATCATCATCATCATCACCACCACCACCATCATCATCATCATCTGATCATCCTTCTCATCTTCATCGTTGTCAGCATCGTCATCAACATGTTGAGTGGTGGTTGTGTTTGACGCCTCAGACCACAATCGGGGGCCCCAACCTTACCTGAAGGTTTGGAAGAATACTAGGCAGGTTTTGTGTCCACTTCTCAAAATTGTGGTCCCTTTTGGGTGCCCAAGACAAAAGGAGCCGCACCACAAGAAAGGCCCCAAAGGGGGCCATAATTCAGAGAAGTGTCCATGTAGGTCTGTAACCCTAAACGCCAAACGCTAAACCCTAAACCCTAAACCCTAAACCCTAAACCCTAAACCCGATAGAACTGAGAGAACCCAACACAGGGTGCTTTTCTCGCTGCCAGTTTGCCTGAGCACTGCCTGAGCCTTGCGAAGCAGAGGCCCAAAGCCTGAACCCTAAGCCCTTCAGGGTTTTAAGGGCTTCAAGGGTTTTAAGGGTTTTTAAGGGTTTTAAGGGCTTTAAGGGTTTGAAGGGTTTGAAGGGGTTTAAGGGTTTTTAAGGGTTTTTAAGGGTTTTTAGGGTTTGAAGGGTTTGAAGGGTTCTAAGGGCTTTAAGGGGCTTTAACGGTTTTTAAGGGTTTTAAGGGTTTGAAGGGTTTTTAGGGTTTTAAGGGTTTTCAGGGTTTAGGGTTTTAAGGGTTTGAAGGGTTTTAAGGGTTTTAAGGGTTGTTTAAGGGTTTTTAAGGGTTTTAAGGGTTTTTAAGGGTTTTAAGGGTTTGAAGGGTTTCAAGGGTTTTAAGGGTTTTAAGGGTTTGAAGGGTTTAGGGTTTTAGGGTTTGAGAGTTCAAGGTTTAGGGAAACAGGCCCTTGCCAAGAGCTAACCCTAAACCCTAAACCCTAAACCCAAAACCCTAAACCCTAAACCCTAAACTCCTCAAAACATTGCTCCGGGAGGCGTTGTAACGTCGGCTCTTCGAAGGCAAGTCCTCAAGGGAACCAGACTCGGACCCCTTAAGGCAATGCCGCCTGTAAGAGGTTCCCTTTGAGGGTTTAGGGTTTAGGGTTTAGGGTTTAAGGTTTAGGGTTTAGGGTTTAAGGGACTGTAAGGTTCCCAGGGTAGGAGCATGTCCATACCCTAAACCCTAAACCCTAGACCCTAGACCCTAAACCCTAGAGGATCCTTGAAAAGGGTCCCTAAGCCCAAAAGGTTGACACCTTCGGGGTCCCTTGAATAAGGAAACAGAGGGGGATGGAGGGAAGGCGAGTGTAAAGGTTCCCGTATTTCCCAAATAAGGGCTTAAGAATCCCACCTTAAACCCTAAACCCTAAACCCTAAACCCTAAACCCTAAACCCGAAACCCTAAACCCTAAACCCGAACCCTTAGCTTAGAGGAGTTACATGGTCCCTTAATATGGGCCCTTAGAAGGGGTCCCCTTGTATACCCCTTATATATCCCATACAAATTAAGAGCCCATACATCAGAACCCTTTCAAGAGGGTAAGGGACTTTTTTAAGGGCCCATGAAACCCCAAACCCCAAACCCCAAACCCCGAACCCCAAACCCTAAACCCTAAACCCTAAACCCTAAACCCTAAACCCTAAACCCTAAACCCTAAACCCCAAACCCTAACCCTAAACCCTTTCAAGAGGGTAAGGGACTATATTAAACCCTAAACCCTAAACCCTAAACCCCAAACCCTAAACCCTAAACCCTTCATAAGCCCTACGAAGTCCTCGTTCTTCAGGTACGCCGACACGGCCTCCTTCCTGGCCCGCGGCAAGCTTGGATCGTGGGCTTCATGGCACAGGGATTCGGGGTTTGCGGTTTTGGGGAGTTTGGTGTGTTGAGGGTTTAGTTAGTAGGGTTTAGGGTTTAGGGTTTAGGGTTTAGGGTTTAGGGTTTAGGGTTTAGGGTTTAGGGGTTTAGGGGTTTAGGGGTTTAGGGTTTAGGGTTTGGGCGTTAGGGTTTAGGGTTCGGGGCTTGGGGTTGAGGATCTCGGGTAGAGATTCTGCAGCCGAGCTGCTGGTAGTCTGGCATGGGCCAGTAGTCACCTCGAGCTTCCCATGAGCCCCTACAACCGGAACCCCCAAACCCATATGAAGTAAGGTTTAGGATTTAGGGTTTAGGGTTTAGGGTGTAGGGGGTTAGTAGGGGTTTTGGGTCTGGGGTTTAGGGTTTAGGGTTTAGGGTTTAGGGTTTAGGGTTTAGGGTTTAGGGTTTAGGGTTTAGGGTTTAGGGTTTAGGGTTTAGGGTTTCGGGTTTCGGGTTTCGGGTTTCGGGTTTCGGGTTTCGGGTTCGGGTTTCGAAAGGACACCCAACAATATTAAAAAGCAATATAAACCCTGTTTCATATGCACCCGCGCCCCGCGTTCCAAGCCCCTCCGCCCCTTGCTATGGTCAACTCTGACCGTTAAAACCACGAACCAGGGGGTAGAGGAGAAAGCGCGCATAAACCCCAAAAGCCTCACGAAAACCCTAAACGCCCAAAGCCGTAAGCCCCTAAAAGTCCGCCCAAGCCCTGAACCCGAAAAGGTTTCAAGGCCCCAATCTGCAGGAAAAGCCGCTGAAGCCGCCAGAGCTGAGGCCAATGGCTTTTTCTGCCTGGTCTTGGAGGGTTTGGGGTTTAGGAGACAGGGCTTAAGGTTTCGGGCGTACAGGGCTCTGGAGGGCGTAAGTGGCAAAAGGTAGTAGAGCGTTTGGGGGCTTAGGGGTACACACGCGGGGGCATTGGGTTTAACGGGCTAGGGGGGTAGAGCTAGAGGGATACAAATGGAGCATGGCAACGCATGAAGCTGTCTAGCATCATCGCACACCATGAGCACACAGAAAAAACGGTCTGTATTGACAGGGGCCAGCGTGCATCGGAGATCTCGCGTCTGCATTGCTATGCCCATAAAACCAAACTCCAAAACCCTAAGCCCCGAACTACAATTCCCGACCTTGAACGCCAAACCCTCATCACTGCAACTCCATGAAAACCTTAACTGGCACGGCTCTGTCCCTCCTCCCTAAACCCTAAACCCTAAACCCTAAACCCGAAACCCGAAACCCTAAACCCTAAACCCTAAACCCTAAACCCTAAACCCTAAACCCTCCCCTCCCCTCCACACGCCTCGGTTCCAGGCTTTGGCCACGTCTTGCCTCTCACCAAGGGGGTCGACTTCCAGTTTTCCATTTTCCAATGATTTAGTGAGATGCGATGAGTTATTCTTGGGAAACATACTATTGTGTAATAGTGTAATGTAAATCTAAATTTCTTGAAAAAAGAACCACCTGTTCAGCTTTACGACTTCTTGATTTCTAGATCTTGAGGAAGAACCATATTTTCAATGTGTTTCGTACATTTGTATAAATTTCACGTTTAAAATAACACATGTTATGAGTTTAAACCTTACCATGGTATCATGATAACCTTAGTTTTAGACAGAGAATGTTCATCCATTACTTGGAGAGCCCAAAGATGTTCATGAAAGATCTCCTCCAAAGTTGGTGGAACATGTTTTTCACACGTTCTAACAGTAACCTGATAGCCGTGCATTCTTGACATACTTGCAAGATTTAACACAAAATGAAGTCTGTTATGTCGAAAGATGTCGACACAAGAGAAGTCTGGAACTCTCGACGGTTTTCAAGCGCAAAATACGTCGAACTCTTTTGAGCAGCTTGGTCCAGTGCTGTGTTGAGAGGCTCGGTTCATAGCCGTGCTCCGGGTGAGAAGCGTGGCCCTTGCCACATGTGATGGCGAATTTTGACTTCGCCGGTCTGGTGCTTCATGAGTGTCTGCAACACATTCATCTCCTGCACACAGGTGGCATTGCGTAATGTTCATTCAAGCGATTTTGTTGGATCGATTGCTTGAGCCGAGCCGAGCCTTTGTCACTCGAAACTGGCGAACTTCCACAAAGCAGCGGTGCGCCCGTTCATGTCCATACCGGCGAGTCCATATGTTCTTGGATGGCAATGCGTTGAACTATCTAACTATATGGCATTTTATGAAAGAACAAGAGTTTCATCCAAGTGACTTTCAGGTCTTCAAAGGTAGCCTGAGGTGTCAGGTACATCCACGCTCCAGCGGAGTGGAGTAGAATCCCGTAGAAGTTCATTCTTAGATCAAGTGAACAGTATGTATGAACATGTCACGCTGGTGTCCTGCTGAGAGCACGGCCTGTCCATGGCTGTAAGGATCTCTGAGGACCCGAGAGAGACGAAGATTAAGCAGTGAGAAAGCCTGGAGCTCTCGGAGGTGGAGCTGTCGGGGTGCCCTAAGGAGGTGAATCCTGCAGCTCTCAAAACCCTAAAGGAAGTGAAGCCTGGAGCTCTCTGGGGGGCATGGAGGCAATTGCGGCGTCAAAAGTTTCGCTTTGAGAGCTGTCAACGGCTCCAACGGCCACGGCTCACGAACATACATTGATTCAAAACCCTTTGAAGAAGAGATATGCCACATTGCTGCAAACAACTACGAAGAAGCACAACTGCTGGACGTAATGCTCACAGCCCTAAACGGGGTGAAGCCTCGAACTCTCGGACGCTCTAGAAAAAGTGAAGCCTGGGGAGGCTTTCGGGGTTCTCAAGGAGGTGAAGCCTGGAGCTCTCGAGGACCCTGAAGGAGGTGCTAAAGGAGCTCTCCGGGGGATCCTAAAGGAGGTAAAACCTGGAGCTTTTCTGTGGAGGTGAAGCTTTGAGCTCTTGGGGAAACCTAAAGGAGGTGAAACCTGGAGCTCTCGAAGGAGGTGAAGCCAGGGGCCTAAGATAAGTAAAGCCTGGAGCTCTCGGATGAAACCTGGAACTCTCAGGGAAGCTAAAGGACGTGAAGCCTGGAGGTCTCGAGAACCCTAGACGAATTCCAAAAAAAGGTGAAACCAGGAGCTTTGGGGGGGGGGGGGTGCTAAAGGAGGTAAAACCTGAAGAGGTAAAACCTGGGAGCTCTGGAGGGTCGGGGCCCTGAAGGAGGTGAAACCTCTGTCTTGGTGATGCTAATGGAGGCGAAGCTTGATCTCTCGGGACCCTAAAGGAAGTGAAACCTGGAACTCTCCTTCGGGAACCCTGAATAAAAGGTGAAACCAGAGCTCTGGAGGGGCCCTAAAGGAGGCGAAGCCTGGAGCTCTCTTTCGGGAACCCTGAAAACGTGAAACCAGGAGCTCTCAAGGGCCTCTGAAGGAGGTGAAGGCTTCTTATGTGAAACCTTTCGACCCTGTTTTTGTGTAGGGAAGATCTGTGCCAGCTTGCCTTGTTTCCTCGGATGTTGCCTAGTCGACATATTCATACATACTAAAGGCATTCACCACGCTGATCCATAGTAGCCAGGCACATGTCCAGGATCGTGTCCATCTGAGGGTCATCCTCTTTCTCCAGCTTGCTGAGCATTCGCTGGATTTGCTCGGTGCTGTCAAAGATGACGTTTAGGATGTCTTCGATGGAAACGTCTTGCTCAACATGGACTTCGTACAAGAGCTCAAACACGGCGTCAACATTCAGTGCCAGCATGCATGTTCCGCTGTCGCAGAGCCATTGCTGCTCCATCTTATTGACCTGGCCGTTTTCAAAGATCTTCACAGCCTATCATCCCCGTATATTCTCTAAAAACCACGGAGCTTTGAAGAGCCCTTGGTTTTGGGAAACACTAACTTATGTGCTTACGAGTGGATTGATTTACAGAAACTGTCATGGTGGCTAAACAACCATTGTTTTGAGCAACTCAACCTTTGTAGACAGCCATCTGCATGAGCAAAGAAGGGCAGCACGTTCAGTATGCAGCTGCCGAAGATGATCATGCACTTGGTCACGTTCACCGTTATCCAAATGAAATGGATCGTCGCTTTCCCAGTCATCCTTTGCAAATAGCATGGGAACCACTCTGCCAAAGCGCTGCAGCATCAGTGTTCCCTTGCGGTTGACTGCAGCGCAACGCCAAGGGCGTCCAGTGCACGTGACATTTTCCGGTGCTCTATAAAGTGGTTGGTGCAAGGCTGCGGCATATTTAACTCTGTGCTTCTATGATGTAGTGTTCGATTCAGGCCAGGTCTGCTAATTATACGGTTATCGAATGCATGTCAGGAAACTAATTTTGTTGGAAAAAACATCTTGCCATTATTGGATATAGGGAAGAAGATCCATCACACCCCAATGGTATAGATTAATTCAACAACATATTGAGATCATCGAATCTAAGTTATTGGTGCTCATGCTCATTAACAAGAGGTGGGCAAAAACACATTTAACACAGAAAATATGTTACAAAGAATTCACACAAGTGTTGTGCAAGATTCCGACGTTTTCACTGGGCGCATCTAATACACCATAGACTAACACAAGTTCATCATCAGTAACATGGTCTTGAAGATATGTGGAACAAGATTTCATTGAATAACACATTGAATACTACAATGAACATTAACTTCATTGTTATTCACGTTTAAACGATCAGAATATGTTTCAGGAAAAAATGGGGATATCATGATAATCTACAACACCATCGGAGAAGAAATCGTTGATTAAACCTTCTGATTCTGATACTAATGCAGTATCTTGATAAGTTTATCTTCTTGTACACTTCTCTTCGGTGTAGAATTGTCATTATTTGCAATTTATCAACGTCCATCAGTACGTACACAATTACGCAGACAAACTATTCTTTAAATTGATTAATTCGTTCATAATGATTGAAAATGCTCAATACTAAGACTTTGAAGTCTTTCATCTTTGAACATGTACCACTGATTGGGGGTGTTTGACTGTACTAGGTGAAGTTTGAAAATTTGTTCATCTGAAATTTTACGTGTCCTGAAAGAAAAACAACTCATATGCTCTATCAGTACTTTGACGGGCCGTCTGGTGCGCCTCCCAAAGCCCCAAGATCACCAAGGCCAACCGAATCTTCTCTAAATGGGTGGCTGTCAAAATTATGATCCCTTTTAAGGGTACCCTAAATATTCGGTGCCGTATTATTCTCGGGATCCAAAAAGAAACCATAATTCTGACAACCATCCAAATGGCTAAACTCGGTGAAAGACCCTCATCAAAAGTGATCCCTGGTTGGCCTAAACCCTAAACCCTAAACCCG